TATATACAACGTAGAAATAACCAAACACTTCATGAGTCTACGCAATGTACAGACAAAACAGTAAAGACTTTATAATCTTATAACTAACTATCTGCCCATGCTTCGCAAAGGGTGAGAATCTTTGGGTCTCTAAATCCACCGTAAAAAAATAGTATATCTCGTACCTAGGGCCTACAGTGAGGTTTTGCCGACTCGATATCGGGTTTTAAGTTCGGGACGAAGTCGAGAACGTGAAACGATCGAGAGCTGCAAACCCATTTTGGCTCGTGGTACGAGCGCTATTTTTCACCCAAGTATGTTTTGCAATATAACGTCCCTCTTATTTATGTGAAATATTTTGAGGAATCAGCAAAATCAAAAATAACAATAAATAGTTGTCTAGGCAGCTGTGACAAAAAACAATTCTATTGCAATGCCATGGATACAGCTTGTGCATTTAATATACATTAATGTTTTAAGTAAATAGGCGAACAAGTGATTTTGCGGCCCTAGGGATGTAAACCCCTGCTCGGTCCCCATATGACGATGATAGCTGGCATGGCCAGCAAAACATAACTTTCAGCCACCAATATAAACCAGCTAAATGTATCTAAAACAGCTAAAAACATCATAGTGAGGTGAAAAATTCGTTACGCATACTTTTACATTACCATGAATTAATTATATGCATACAGAAAAAACGGAGTCATACTAATTGCGTATTTTAATGTAAACTAGTGGCTTGTATGGACATAGTCCCTAAAAAGCTACGGAAAAGGAATTATTGTTGGAATATTTAAACAAACTCAGAATCAAATTATCTATATGTCAGGATAGGCCTAGATATCCCACTACAACATATCTTTTGTGCAAAAAAAACAAAACAGTTTGTTGTTTGTCTTTGTTTGCTTTTGTTGATAACGTTATGTTCAATAAAGAATTTGAATGATTCCAGAGGTTTAACTGCTAAAGGCAGCAAACATGTTTATGAATAAATATTGGTTTATTAAGGTAGCTTTGGTTTTTTGGTTAATGCTGATAACAAGGCTTCCCCGATTGAAATACAGTATCGGAAATTGACTTCGTCAAATAAGAAAAGGCAAAAAATGGTATGTTGAGATACCCTACCCAGTTATTATTTCTAAGTCTATGCTCATTTTGTAAAGGTTTAACAAAATTATTCTTAAGTAAAGGCATCCCATTGACTGAACTTGGACCTAAATTTGTTTGTGATCAACATTAAAAAACCACTATTAGCCTAGTGTAAGTATGTGGTGTTAATCCTCCTAAAGGTGCGATTGATTTACATATTCTACCAAAAAAGGGTCTAGTCAACGTCTAATTACTAACTATTTTGCGGCTAGTTAGGGTTCCATTACCCCATTATCGAAACTAATCACGACATAAATATTTTTGGTTCGTTTAAATACCTGTACGAACCTACTTCATCTCTATTCCCAAATTGTTTTCTAAGAGTAACCGTTGAGGTTATTCCACTTCATACAAAATATTGATTAAACACTACAATAAATCTCAAATATAAATGTTAGTAAATTTAAAAAAAAAATTGGAATAAATCTTTTTCACCACACTAAGATGTTTTTGGCTGTATTACATACGTTAATTTGTGGCTGAAAGTTACGTTGTGCTGGCCATAACAGCTGTCATCGTAATTTGGGGACCGAGCAGGTTTTTACAGGCCCCGGGGCCGCAAAATCAGCTGTCCGCTTACTTACTTAAAACATGAATGCATTTTAAATACACAATCAAAATCCATAGCATTGCAATATAATTAATTGTGTTATTGTCAACGTTGCCTAGCAACTATTTATTTTTATTTTTGCTGATTCCTCAAATTATTTCTTCACATAACCTTAAAGTTGTAGTTGTGTTGACTATCAGTGTGCATTATTATAGTGGTGAATAGTGGTAATAGGGTATATAGTGTGGTGAAAAATAGCGTTCGTACCACGGACCGAAATGGTTTTGCAGCTCTCGATAAATTTGAGTTCTCGACTTCGTCTCGAACTTAAAAACTATCTCGAGCCGGCAAAACCTCATTTTCGGCCCTAGGTACGAAATATACTATTACATATGTTTTGAAAAAAAAAAACAAAGAAGATCTTCTTTCAATCTTGAATCGTTTCTTAAATCTTGAAAACAATTTATTTCAACTTTGACATAACTAAAAAGTCTTAATTATTAAAGGTAACGTTATTCCTTTATATAGTTGGTTTTATATAGTATACATTACATTGCAGAATTGACTGGCAAATGAGTAATCCAAATGTAAGCTTACTTGCTAATGATAAAATCACGATTAGCTAGATTGAAGTAAACAAAAATCAGCAGTAAATGCCTTCTAATGCTATTCTTATGGAGAACATTGTACGTTATATCTAATTTTGTGTTAAGATTTAGGGAATTTCACTATTTTTCCCGCCGTCACGGGATAAAGACCTTTAATTTGAGCCCTCTCACGTCGTTCTACGACTTCCCAGTCGCCCACAATTTTGACGCAAAGAATCGGCTTACGTAATTAATATATAGATAGAATAGATTTCTTGTATATTCCCATGAAACTGATAATTTACCCTGCACATTGGGCCTTTATTCCAAGTATCTCAGTTCGTAAACCATACATACAATGTGACGATAAAATATCAACAAAATAGTATGTAGTTTTATGTAATCCTCACGACATTTCATTTGGTCCATTGACTTTAAATCCAATAATTGTAAAAATTATTGGAGCTTTGAAAAAAACTTCATATAAAATCCTTACACTAATAAAATACAACGTCATGAGCGCGGGAAATGAGCTACAGCGGCTAGGGCATAGCCACATGAATACAGAACGGAATGAAGGAACTAGAACGGAGAACTGGCAACAGCGCACGCGAGAAGTAGGGGGGGCGCACACACCGCTCAAGCACTACAACGCATTAGTGGCATCCTGTCCACACACTGTTGATATATACCGATTTGTGGCATGGTGCCACAATTTAAAAACTGGAATGTTAGATGTTAAAATGGAGTGTTCATTAAAAATATCGATGCAGACATGTTTCTACCACCTTCCTTCATCCACTGGTGGCCGCAGGTTGAAAGATGCCACAATTAGGTGTTTGCGAGTATTCGGTAAAACCCCGTATGTGTGTGTGTGTCTGTGTGTCTAGATGTGTACAGAGCTAGAGACTACACCTGTGGTCCGATTTCGATTAAATTTAGTATGTAGGTTCTAATCCATGGTATCTCCAGGCGTTTTTTTCATTTTTTTGAAATTTTGATTTTTAATGGGGATTTCCCCATAAAAAACTGGAAAAATTGGATTTTCTCAAAAATGGCTCGAACGATTTTGATAAGAATTTAGTATGTTGTAGCCCTTTAAATTCTGAACAAAATGGTACAAATCCCATTTCTGTAAAAATTACGGTTCAAAAGTTATAGTAAATTATGTTATTTTCCCATAAAAACCCCATAAAATAACAAAAAATGGAACTTTAGACAAAAATCCGGTTCTGATTTAACATAGTATGTTATAGTTCTTACAATTTTGAAAGTTTTTTTTTTATTTTTTAGAAATTTTGATTTTTAATGGAGATTTTCCCATAAAATAACGGAAAAATAGGATTTTCCCTAAAATGGTTCGAACGATTTTGATAAAAATTTAGTATGTTATAGTCCTTTATATTCTGAACAAAATGGTACAAATCTTATCTCTGTAAAAATTACGGTTCAAAAGTTATTGTAAATTATGTTATTTTCCCATAAAAACCCCATAAAACAACGGTAAATCAGATTTTCCCAAAATTGGCTCGAACGATTTTGATAAAAATTTAGTATGTTATAGTCCTTTAAATTCTGAAGAAAATTGTACAAATTCCATTTCCGTTTATTTTATCTCACCGCTTACACATGATAAAGGTTGTTGACAAACTTATGGGAGAAAGTATGTGTCAGAATGCTGATACCGTTTATTTAATTTTTTCTGAGAAAGGTAGCCTACTTAAATTGTTAAGTATTTAAATGTTTAATTAGATTAAGTAATCCCCTTGTATTCTTATTACTATATTTATATATGTCAAGGTTAAGTTTTAACAAGTGCCATGTGGTCCTAACTTTGCCAGAAAAATTAAGCATTTTCATTTTAAATGACGAATACATATGAAGCAAACTGCATTGTATACTAGGCTACAGTATAAAAAAATAGTTAAAATTAAAATGTTAAATATAAATACGTGAAGACAATAACTCCAGTAATTTAGCTCAAATTTTGATGAAATTTGGCATGAACATCTAGGGCTGGACCTCCTCAGTATCCAAAGTCAATAGTTTGTCTGGTTCTCATAAATGGAATGTCTACTTTCAGTATCCAAAGTCAATAGTTTATCGGGTTCACATAAATAAATGGAATGTCTACTTTCAGTATCCAAAGTCAATGATTTATTTTGTTCGCATAAATGGAATGGAATGTCTACTTGCAGAATCTAAAGTCAATGGTGTATAAATCTAATTGGTTATTCATTTGGTAGTAAATTTATGCTCAACGTGTTAATCCGTTCGCTGGTCCCTTTTGTTCTGTATTTGCAATGTGCTAGTTTGATGATTTGTTGATAAACGTATGTTAGGACTCTTTTGTTTACCTTTTTATTGTTTTCTTGCAATTATACTGTCATGGTGACCAATAAACCCATAAGGCCAATTTTAAATTTCTAAAATAGCATAGGGTAGTAAAGAAAAGCCCTTAGGCCGAATGTACCATTTCAGATCTATACCTTCTTATAGTTGGTTACTATGACTGTACTAAATTTTGTGCAGATTGCTTCTCAGCCCTTCAGGAGGAGTATTTGTAAAACAAAAGCACGAGCGTAAGTCTTAATTAAGATTTTAGCAATCATTTCTTTACAACTACATATTCCTGAAACTTAGCACCCTTCTGCTTTTGTGGGACTATACAGCAGAACTTATGTGGGAGTGAAGAAAATATGACAAGCCAGAAGGTAATAAAGATCAAAATGTTTTAACAAAAACCATACATGTAATTAATATTAGCACATCTAACAAAATGATACAATTCGAGACTTTATGTATCTACCAAAGTTGATCCAACTAATAGCTGTCAGGTTTGGGAGCTGGAGCGTAGTGTTCTTTCCAGGAGCGTTCCCCTTTCAACAGCTGCTTGTGGCGTTCCATCCTCATAGCGTTCTCTCTCATGATCTGAAAAATATCATGAAACGTGAGTCTTGATAATTTAATTGTGGTGCTTAGTTTGAACTTCCTTAATTCAAAACTCCTTTAACTCGAATTTATCTGTGGTTCCTAAAACCACCCCATGTGATCATTGTTGAAATAACGTAAATAGTTCAAATATAATTTTGGATGGTTAGGCCATCAGCCAATTGCCTTCTTTTAGCCCATTCTTTCCCTACAAACCTGTTTTCAAACAGTACTGTTATTGGTGATTATTAACAGGAAATTACCACAACTTATGAGCTCTGTTGTAGCTTTTTCGGTTTAAATAATTTCCTGAGTAAGTTTGGAAATGTTTACGCTTGTAAAATTACTAAGCTTTCATCATTAGTCAAACCGCCGCTAAAAAATATAACATTTTGTTAGCTCTTGCTTAGGCTTAGATGTGTAAAATACTCACGTATTTACCCGGGTAATACCCATTTTTTATAAATATCTCGGTATTTATTATTGTTCAGTAAGGCTAGATATCTCTAGTTCATAGGGTACTGGTTGAAAAGGAACCAGCATTCCTGATGTAAAGACGATCGGGTGTCTCAGCACAACACCCAACAGGCAGGACAAGCAGCTTCACTTCCCGAGAGTGAGGCTGGAGGTAGGCAGGAGAGGGTTCTCTTACTTTGGGCCTAAGCTGTATAATGACCTCCCCTGTGACCTTAAGTTGCTGGGTGTGCCAGCTTTTAGAAGTAGGCTTAAAAAATGTATTAAAAGCTGTGGAAGAAGTTCCTCTAATTTTGTAAATATTTAATATGTGCATTTTCTGTTGTTAGTTTTATTTAGTATTAGTTAATACAAGAGTTATTCTGAAAAGCAGCTTGTAACTGAGGAACGCTTGATAAATAAAGGCATTTATTTATTTATTATTTATATGCTACACGAGTTTTAGTTTTTTATTTTTTGCCATCAAATAGCTTTAAAAGGTAACTTAGGCTATGTGTATTATGTACATTTTATTGTAGTTTATCAATCTATAGGCTACTATAATACGAGTAACTTTGCGGACAATGATTTCAAAAACGGCTCCAATGATTTCCTCAAAATTATTATAAATATCTTTTTACAGCCTTAAAACAATATTCTGTCTAGGCTCTGTTCTGGGTAAATTTGTTATTCTTTAAAAACTTTAAATGCATCATTGGTCTTATGGATTGCCAACTAGCTGTGATAGTTTTACTAAATTGTAAATAGGTATATGAATTGTAACGTATGGTATGCTAACAAATCATCAATACACAGTGAAGCAGCAAATTACTAAATACCGGTATAGTACAAAAGAAAAGGTCATTCCTATGAATACTATTAAGCATTTCTTATATAATAGCCTACTTTTGGAGTGTATCACTAAGCAATGGGATAATTAAGATTGTTCAAAAAATTAGTCTTTAACTGATAAAAATTATGAACTAATATTCAACTAAAAGTTTTGAGTAAAGCCAAAGACTTTTTGTAGTGTTTTGACGATGCGCTGTCGTAATGATCACAATGAATCAGGATCTCAGGGATTATAAAATAGAAACGGCATGGATCATAATCATAAACAAATGACCCGAAAATAAACATAGGGTATTTGTATTATTAAATGGAACTGTCAAAAAACTTCCAAAACAGAATGTAAGCCTAGATGTTATTAGTAGCCTATTATTTTCCAGACATTGGCGTATTTCAAGTTTTTGATCCATACCGTTTCTGTTCTAATAATCATGGCAATGGACGATCCCATTGTTGCAATGTACCTCGATCCCAATGAACAATGTGTCGCAGCAGATGTTAAATATTATCATGATTTTGTTGTTGAATTTTATGATTAGATTTTCATTATAGATTGTTCATCTAGGTATGAAAATGTTCGTCATGTAACTTAGCTATGAAGAGGGGTCTACCAAAGAGAAATTGGCTTTACAACGTACAACAGAGGGAAATATAAGAGATACAGTATGTTTTAATGGGTTAACTAGAGTTTGATTTAAACAATTTTTTTTAACGTGTTTGATTTATTTACTTTCTTAATGTGGTTCAGTACAAAAATTACATTTAGTACCTACTTTAAGTAAGTATGTGTATACATGGTGCAGGTTGATGTATTTTTATCCCACATAGTGGAGCTTGGCAGTTCTAATTGAGTTAATGCTGTTCTTTTTTTTACCAATATCCACACTTTCTAAACCAAAGCCAAACTGAAAAAATGTCATTAAACCTAAACTTCCATTAAACATAGGCCTATTGAATTTCCTTAGTATTGATTTTTACCTGTTTACGCTGTGAGTGACACTCTTTGAAGTCATCAATGAGATCTTTACATTTGACCTCGGCGCGAGGCATGCCATATGCTTCCATACATTCCATCATGGCCATCTCAAAGTCAGCACAGCGACTGAAATGTTGGTGGTGACCTAAGTTTCCCGTCAAATCAGTAAATGGTGAGCGAATAATCGGTTCCTTGTAGAGAGACATCTTCTGTGGGCAAAAACAAGAATATTTGTACCGGAGGGATTATAAAATAACTTAAAGGAGAAGTTTAAATTAGGGCAACCCATATTTGGTCACAACCCTAAAAAGTGCTTAACTTGGGTTAGGTACCTAAAAACAATAAACAATTAACTTCTAGCCTAATGTAGGCAAAGCCGACCCCAATTTACTTATCAGGATCCTTACAGCTAAGGCCTAGGTCTACATAAAACAATTCTAGGAAAAATTACTAACAACTGCAGTCTACGGTTATATAAGTTAAATCGGAATAGATTACTATACATTTTGATTATCGTTTGCAGCAGATAGGAAGGAATAAATTTACCAAAATAATGTGATGCGTCAAATTACACCCAAATAAGCTAGGCCTACAGTAATTTTGAAGAAAGAATATTGGTATCACTTTGAACTGTAATTTATTTTTTTAACTTAGACTAGCACAGTCACAATTGAAGCTCACTGACATGTTTAAGTCGAGGCTTTTAGTTCAAAAGCTACACTCAACATTTTTTTTTTCTATTCCTTTTAGAAGAATCAGTCTAGTGGCGACCATGACAGGTGATGAGTGAAAACTGATGGAATTTAATGAGTACAAAAGACATACAATCGTTGTTAGAGCAAACTATTCAAGACCAGTTAACCATTTAAAGGATGAACATAATGAGGATGGAAACAGTTCAGTTTTTCTTATATTTCTGTATCGGTAAGGGGTACAGGTAAGGGGTAACTGTTGAGCCTCCAGGCGATGCCTTTCCCAACACTGGGAGTGGAATGAAGTAGGCTATGTTCCATATCATCGAGAATGCCTGGGCGGTGCAATCAGGTGACATGGCTTTTCCCATCCTGAACAGGTATGACCGGAAAAAGTCGTGACCTGTCAGAAAGTGAATGAGGTAGAAGTTCACCTCTCCACACCTACAATTAACCCAAGCAGCTAATGGACTTGCTGTATCAGTTGCCTGACCCAGCGTACCCTTGTCTCCTGCCATAGCTGTTAGGAGCGGGAGCGTTCCTCTATTAGTGCCTGGTCCTCTGCACGGCACTGATAATTGCCTTCCTCTTTGCCGCCAAAAGTTTGAAGGGGATGACTCCAGCAACCACCAGGACGACGGGTGTCACTCATCGTTCGTAATATCAATAAAATTTTAGGCCTAAACAATTCATAGCTCAATTCGATGTTTACATAACTTAGGCCTAGTGAAAAAAACAAAAAAACAATATACGGTACGGTATCGAATCAGATAACTTACCAGTAATTATTGATATATATCGTTATTTATCCAAAAATATATCTCAGGTTCTCTACAGAACTGTAACCCTGGTTAGCCCTAACTTAGGTCTATTGTAATATTATTAAAACCTGACATTTTGAAAGCAAAGCAAAAAGTCCATCAAGAGGTGTGTAAAAAACGAGCAATCAGGAGGATGGAATCCTTGATTGCTGGAATGTAAAAATAGATAGGCCTTGGCTCTCTGAACTAGGATAAAACTAGAGATCATACTACTAATAGGTATGTAAGTTTAATAGGTATGTAGGCTATTACAGTGTAAAAACTATACACTGTAGGCTAGCTTAAGCCTATTCAGTGCAGTCCATAAGTTAATTCATGTAGCCTTGGAAAAAGGCCTAAGTTGGTTTCACATAGCAGAATCTTACCAATGCTATTTAAACTGAAACCCGTAAGTTGGGCTGCATCAAAGACAATTCAACTAGGCATAGGCATGTTTAAGTTTAATTCTACTAAGATACGCTAGCCTACATAGTCGATGGTCCAAGTTTTGAAAATTAAAAGATTTAGGTTAGGTCTGTATAGAAAATAATAAGAGGCATTTATAGGGTTCATATGAAGGCATTTTAAATTTATTATAAGTATATTTTGAGTAAAACTTACCTATAGATGTATTAAATTCTCCAAAATAAGAAACAATAGGCTATCTACAACTGTTCTGATCTGTTGACTCCCACTTAACCTACAAAAAAGTGACCAGGTCCCACGCACGGTTGCCAACTGAGTTTGGAGAGCTCAGCTGTGTGTATGATTCCATACAGCTCTAGAAATCCAGAAAATCGAGCAAATCCCTGCATGGCCGTAGATTATTAAATCAACAACATGCTTAACGATTTTTACACCATCGATCAATAATATTTGTCCTGTTGAATGTTTGTTATATGCTTGATTTATAGACTGTTTAAGAAGCCATAGACAAATTAAAACTATTCAATCTATAACTATGGATAAAACATAGACATAGGACCATCATCGACTTCAGTATTCGATACTAACTTTTGTAGTTATATCAATAGTCAAAGCCTTGACTTCAATGAAGTCAATCAATTTACGCAGTTATAGCCGTCAATAGACCTTGTGGACCGAAGTCCCTCGTTTTACCATAAGACCAGATTGCTTCCCCCTTTGAAGATGATAGTCATATGATAGTATACTCTCTTAATAAATTTTTCATCCTTGGTCACAATATCTAATCGCCCTAAGCCTGTTAATTACTGGTTTCTTCCACTGTGTTTGTAACAAATTGTCGGACAACAGCATGTTTGAATAAAACTGTACTAAAATCAAATATTATCTATATTTTAACCTGTGTACTAGCAAGTAGCCTAGTTTTTAGCGAAATTCCCAAATAGGGAATAACCTATTACCTTAATAGACACCTTAATTACCAATGCACTTAGCCACGGCATCCTTTAACTCAGGCCGCGGCCTGGTAGAATTGGCAAAGTCACAAGTAGGGTTGTTTAGTGTCAGAAGTCCCATAAGATAACATGGCAGACGACATCAGCTCATTAATTCACACTTTATTATAAATTTATTAAAATATTGAAAATAACACATATACAGAATTGAAAACCAAAACAATATGAATTGAAAATCTATATCCGTACATTAAAAGCGGAGTCAATATTTTCATAGTCCACTAACCAAGCTTTCGTAAGTACACAAATACCATTAGCTTCTTGCAAACAAAACAGCTGTTACAACCCTACTTGTGACGTTGCCACTTCGAAGGTCATCGGTGCATGGAGTTAAAGGCCGTGACTTAGCTCTTCTCCGAAGCTTTACTGTCATATGCTACAAGTATAACGGGTTTTTGAAATAATAAAAATTCGATAAAATCGATTTTTGAAAATCTGCAAATGCTCATTGTTAAAAATTTATTTTATAGGGTTTTTAATTCTTATCAACTTTGTAATTTACACTTACTTCGTATCTCTTTCAATTTTTGTGAAAATAACAAAAACCTAATTCCTATATCGATTGCATGTTATTTGGGGTTTTAACACTAATGGCCTCATTTCATCAAAACACAACCTGTTAGGTGCACCAAGGACGAATGTTTTATCTAAATGCATTTCCTGAAAGACTAAAGGATACAACAGGATAGGCGGACACATTGATCAGAAACAACAACAAAAATTGTGCAAAGTGTAGGAGTTTAGTGGTTCTTGTACGATGTGCCAACCCAAGGTGAACTCCCTGCTATCCAGAATAAATCCTTTAAACCTGTATTTTGAGTGGATATGTAAGGAGCTCCAGGTATTCATGGTTTTGACCAAATTTGGCATGTAGGCACTAATCCATGGTATTTCTACGTTTTATTTGTATTTTGGAAATCTTGATTTTTTTATGGCAACTTTCCCATGAAAACTACCAAAACACAAAAAATAACAGAAAATCATACTTTTACGAAATGGCTTAAAGATTTTGGATTAAAATTTAGTACCACCTTTGACTATTAATACAATATATTCCATCCCTATGTTAAATTTGTAGCCAAGTTTTTCATCAAAATCGTCGTAGTTTATGCGAGCCACCGACAGATTGTGCTGTTCTAAATTACTAAATTCTGTCGAACCTTTATGCCAGTCCAACTTAGGGAATGTCTTATGGTGACCTATAGCAACTGTTACAACCCAACCACCTGAGCAACAATTTTAGACACTAGTGCATTCTGTGACTGGCTCACACAACTACGTTCTTTTTTAATAAAAAATTTAACGACACATGATCCATATATAAAAGAGGATGTTTGTATATATATTTGGCAGTGATAAACTCAGACACCGCTGAACCGATTGCTACGAAACTTGGTACATACGTGTAGAATTTCATGGAATAGGTTTATACACCATCAATTTCGTGATCCGTCCAATCGGTTCCGCCCCAGTGGCTCTGGAGTTTCCCATGTTAACCTTATGAGAAATGAAAAATACCCTCGCCGCAGCAAACCTGCAGACTAAGCGAATTTCCATTTGACTGATTGGATTTACACTGAAATGTCTACTTAAAAATATAACATTTATTCTTGATTCAAATAGAATTAGTTTAACAAGTACTTAGGTTTGCTGCATCAGGGAGGGTAAAACTGTTTTTTTTTTTTTTTTGTAAAATGTGAATAGTTAGTAAGAAATAAAAACATTTTCCAAATTTGATCAAAATATGTTCACAAACAAGCAAACTACAACAGTTTACTTATTCTCCATAAGAATAACATGGGAATTTTAAATTTACAATTTTTTGGAATTTTCTCCGTAACCATTAGGCGCATAATAACGCTTCAATTTACTAAATTATTTGTTTTTTTAAGCTCTACAAAATGGTTTGGAAAGAAATTGCTAAATTTTATGTTTTTTGGGTCAAAAATGGGAAAAACCTATTTTTACCCCATAAAACCCCCCGTAAAGCCCCGTTCCCATGGTCCGATCATGCTGGATCGCGAACTCGTTCGAATAAACGTACGTTTACACGTTTGTACCAAATTTCATCAAAATCGGATCATTTTTGCTCGAGTTATCGTGCTGACGGACACATATATATATATATATATATATATATAAATATATATATATATATATGAATTTGAACGGATGGTGTTTTTGGCCTCTAGGGACCTCAAAACGAAAAAAAAAATCGGTCCCGCGTCCAGGTCTTACCATGAGTACTACGGTAATAGCTTATTCCCTATATGGGAAATTCGCTAAAATGAATCTTAACAGCTGTTTCAATTAAACAAGTTGGTTCTGTTCTATGATATTCAATAGCATTAAAGTTACAAGGATTACCAACAGGGTGCAGCACTATTATTTCTTTTACATTTATGACAACAGCTAATTTGCAACCAAAAGGTGAGTGAGCAATAGCGAACGAACTTCAACCTGGAGGCGAGTTGTAGTGAACAAGCTAACCTGAAGGCAAGTGAGCGTAGCGAACGAACTTCAACCAGGACGTGATTGAGCCATGCGAACGAGATCATCTTGAAAATTAAGAAGTTAAACGGGGCAAAGCCCGCGGGTTACAGCTAGTGATCCATATAAATGGGATGTTCAGTATCCAATAGTCAATAGTACTACATTATAGTTCTATTAACTTGAAACAAAATGGTACTTCACCAACTGCTCGCTGTAAAAATTACAGTTAAAAAGTTTGTCATTTCCCCATAAAATATCATAGTTACTCCCACCGCTTGCTTATCAATGAGGGTTGTTGACAAGCTAATGGGAGAACATATTTTGTATTAGATGACCGTTTCTTTTGATCATATTGCCACCGGTGCGGCATCACTATATGGCATCTTGCATACTTAAATTATTATTTGAAAACACAGTACTAAAAAATACATCAAAGACATATTTTTTTATACTTTCAGATAATTGAATAACATATACTATACTACAAATGTTTCTGCGTAAATGCTGATTTGAAAATATTGCTTAGTATATTTTAATTAGTGTTGTCAACGGGCGATGTGGCAACGTCGTCGCACTAGCCTTGTCTTGTGATTGGCTGCCACCAACAGCAAACTTACACATTTTAGAGCCAAATTTACACATTCCAAGCATCTGAGCTGCTTTACTATTTCATTTCCCATCTTGTTATGACCAGGAGCTGAAGACATGCTTGATTCAAAATGATCAGAAGTCCTTTGTTTGATTCGTATTTAACAAATTTAATACCAGAAGATACAAATTAAAAACTTACACGGGACATGAAAGATAAAAATTACAATCTAAAAAATTTAAGTCTTAATGAGACAGTATACTACAGAATACTAAAGAACAAAAATGTCAATAGAGATTTTAAAAATAAGCCTCTTAGCATTGATAAAAATGTAAAACTAATATAAACAAATGAAAGTAAAACAATGAATAGAACCTCCACTGTGGGTTTTCTGTACCCAACACTACAAATTTTTAATATCTGCCTCCCATATAAATCTTTTTTTACCGGTTCAATCTACAAAGGATAAAATCAACAACGTGAAACTACCAAGGAAACTTTTATTTCAACAATATCATCTAGTGGTAAAAATACCCAGCACGGCGAGCTCATCACAAAAAATGCTGGCCGGCTGTCATACGCAACAACTAATAAGAAATCGGCAGCTTTGTCGGCAGGTACTGGGGCTACGCGCGCACCGAGGCCTCCTCCTTCTGACGGACCGCGACTGCGGTCTCCACCAAGAGTCTTAGGCACTTGAATTGGTCTTCTTCCTCAGGAGGAGGATCGTTCTCACACCTGATGGCCACTTCACTGCCTATGTGAGCACTCCAGAACTCTTCCGGGTTCCTAAGAAAAATATAAAAAAATATTAGGCTAAACACAAAACAGATTGTTTAGGACTGCAGGCTTTCCTGAATGAGAAACAGTTTGCCTTGGCAAAAGTAACATAAACTATACACTTTACCAATACTTGAGATATTCCACTTGCATTGATAGCAGTTCCAGAAAATAGAAGAATTAATTTGTTCTTACTTCCCAACTCACAGACAGGATGAAAATGCTGTACGGTCAGTGAAAAGAGAAATATCTTCTTGTACCTGAGTGGACGGTAACTGTACAAATTCTCCTCAACCTACTCGCTGAAAAAGTCTTACTTCAGGACGAAATATCAGTGTTATGTTTTCTGCTCTTGAGTTATCTATTATCTATTAGCCTCTGGACTCTAATTTTTTCTCAGGCAACCTAGCTGAACTATATTCCTTTCCAAAAAATTCCTTTTCTATTCAGGTAAGCCTGTTAACCAGGAAACAATCCTTTAGAGTTAAACCCTTGTGCTGTATGATGTGATTTTCAACCATGCACACTAGTGTACATTTAATATTATTTAGTAAAGAATATTGGATGAGCTGAATAATGACTCTAAGCAAAAAAGAAATAGAAAATATTTAGTGTTGGTTACGACTCTGCTTGATGTAAAAAACTGTCCTTCTTTCCATGCATTTAAGCCACTGGACAAAATCACACAGAAATTTCACACTTGATAGCTACTGCAACCAAGGCCACGCATGTCTATTAGGTTTATACTGGCAAATTTACGGATTTATGGAAGTAAAAAATTATTTAGATAGTATGAGCTGTTTTATAACATAGTATGAGCTGTATAAATGAACACAAATAATGAGAATTCATCTTTTTTATCTGTATAATTTTTGCCCGTCTGAGGCCATAAGTCTCCTGTCTGGGAAGGGTTAAAACAGGTTATTCTATTCAACGACCCTTTTCATAATTGGGAATTATGACTGTCTATTATAGCCTTTGTGATTTAAATCAGTTTTACGTACAAAAATACCCCCGCTACAGCAAACTTCAGACTACTTAAGCAAATTTCCATTTGTCTAGTTGGAGTTTTACTAATATAGGCATACTTCCTTAAACAGGTCAGTTTTATTTCCTACTTAAATGACATTTAGGTTTAACGAATACAGCACAGAAATTATTATACTGCCATCAATTCCCTAAGAGTTTTCAATAAGAAATCACATTTGTGCTGGGAGAAGTGTTCTAGATAAACTCCCTGCCAATGTGACGAGCATTAATAAGCCAAACAAATTAAAAACTAAAGTTACCGGTAAACGAATGATAATTAATAAGGCATTGTTTAGTTATGATCATTTTTAGATGGTCTAGTTATAATGACACCATTCAATGTATAGGCTAAAGCATAGTTATTTTCAAACCGATTCAATACGTTTTGTATAGTCTAATCTACAATATAGTTACTCACTTGGAGGTGGTGGTGGTGTAAGCGGGGCTGTTACATTCGAAGCTAGACACGATCAGCTCCGTCCAGGGTACAGTGGGAGGGTCCTCCTCACTGGGAGAGCTGCTCTCATACTCTGGACTGTCGTTACCCCCGCCTCGCCCCGTGCTGCCCCTCGCCGAGCCGTTACTGGAAGACTTCTTGCCCCGTCGTGAGATCGTGTAGTGCTGCGGGTCGTTGCCTTCTCGTCTTATCATCTCAGGCAGGATACGACGTCTGGCATTTATAAACCAGTTGCACACCTACACCGCAGATTAACTATTATTTTCATATGCAAGACATTTATCTCCACTATCCACAGGCTTACTTAATGCTCTTTAGCTCTAGATCCCTGATACTCCCCAGGAAAAGGTTGGGTATTAAAAATAAACTGCAACCGAGTGCACAGCCCTCATTGTTTACGTTAACACCTCCAGAACGGCTCCTAGCTCGCAAGGCCCGACCAAAGGTCATCAACCCAGCTTGCCTAGCCCAAAATATGCATGGGTTAAAATAGTTTGACAATCCTGTACTACACAATAGCTGAATGGAAACATCTCTTAAACATTTACAAATTAGATAAGTATTGGAGAAGGAAATAGACTTAATCATGTGATATGCCCAGCTAAATAGATTAATCTGTAGGAAAAACGACAAGAAGAACTTAAAGAAGCAAACTGTTATCTGGTGAAACTCAAGCCCAAATGACTAAATTGATGAGTGGATATAGCCTAGTGTGGTGCACCCCAGACTGAGTTGGAACCAGTCGTACGCACTAATAGCCTTATCCCTAGTCTATGAGAACTTGGAGCTGCACAAGTTAAAAAAAAAGAAAAAAACATATCCAAGTTAATACAATTTTTAAAGTTTACACAAAGAGTGCAGTCCAAATGAAACTCATTGACCAGCCACTTGTGCAGCTCTGATCACTCACACTGAAATTGAGGGATGGAGATCATGGCGTTAGTGCAGTCAACTTGTTGCACCTCACTCTGAGGTGCAAATACAATAGTGCTCACTTCACAATCAGAAGTTTACTACGATCCCAAGATTTTGGAACAGGACCCAGCTGATCGGATCCTTGATCATTGACCTTTAAATAAAATGGTCCTGGCCAAAATCATTAACAGCACTAGAAAACATTTAACTCAACCTATAGGCCTACCGGGACTTATCTTCCATTCGTTGCCCCCTTTGGTAAATGAGTTTGTTGGTTACACTCATTAATAGTCTAATAGCATAAGACTGTGTGGGTTAGGATTTGCCAAAAGCTTCATATTACCAAAAATAAGCGTTTTATTGCTGTATATTAACTGAATTTCTACTTGTTTTCACTGTATATTGAGAATGAATATTACTACAAATGTAAATATTTATGTTGCTTTAAATTTGTTGAAGAAAAAAACAATATGCTAAGTAATATGAGCCAGGGAGTTAAATAAACACAGGTTTAGCGAATTTCAGGTAGTAGATGCTCTATTGTAATTTATATATCCTGAATACAACAACTAATTGTTGGACAGGGAGCTTACCTGTAGGACTGTGAGGTTTGCCTCCTGGCTGAGTGTGAGTTTCTCACTGTCGTTGGGATAAGCGTTGTAGCGGTGTTCGTACAGCCAGCGCTTCAATATCTTCACCGAGTGTTTGGGTAGGTTCCCCCTCCTCTTGCGTACTGAGCCTGCTGACAGATACAGAAATACATTGTCAGTCATCAAGGTATATCATATATTAATGATAGTCAAACTAAAAGTTTCATATCTCGAAACCAAAACTAAAAAAAAACTGTATCCCAATCCCAATACTAGTTGACTTGACTGGTTAAGACTACAAAAATACAGATAACAATAAAATTTTGATTAAGTTATGCACTCAAAACTGAAGGAATTTTGACTCGCTGACATTTAATAAAGACCAAATACTGAAATAAATCAAACTCCTAACAATTACATTATGGCATAATAATATGGGATCAATACTTATTTGAGTCAATATTTAGTTTTAATTTCGTCAGTTAAAAATTAAATGGTTTCGACATACGGTTTTGAAATATCACTACCTATGTGTGTGTTTATACTATAATGATATATAATGTTTGTGTGTCTTAAAAAAAACATTCATAGCAAAAAAATACAAAAAGAGAAGATGGCTAACTTATTTCTTATGGACTATCTGACCAGCTAAATCTAATTTAGTAATTCTTCAAATAAACTCAAACTTATCAGACATTCAAAGTTAGTGGTTTTACTTACCAGAGTTGAGCCATGTTTTGTTGTTTTGATTGTGCGAGTCATGTTCAGGCTCAGAACTTGAGTCTTCTGCACTACTGGACGAAAACCTGTCACGACCTATAGACAAAACGGTTAGTTATTATCTTTGCAGTAGGCCTAAGTTATTTTTTTTTATAATGGATGAAATCAATGTCCATGAAAGAATTGAGAGAATCAATTCTCATTCTATCTTAAAACAATGAGTTGAAAAGCCATATAGACGGAAAATAATAACGATTGCTAGAGGCTCGTCTTCATTCAATCAGCTATGTTCCGTTTATCATCTCAATTTGCCACCACAGATAAAGCTTCCATGATAAATAAAATCTCATATAATTTCTTTGGTACGGCCTATTTCCTAGACATAGACCTCTTTAACTGTTAAATCAACTAGATTTTTATTTTACTTTCAATAGAATCAAACCCTTTTAAACTTCTTGGAGAAAGCCTATACAGGGAATATTCCTCTTATTTTTGATTCCCAAGAATTTAATTACACTTCAGGTGATTCTCATCAAGAATTTAACCATCTTATTCTTATATGTAGGCACAAGATAGAATCAGCTATTTTTTACAATGCCCCATAATATTTTACCTAACCCGCCATGTTAAACTTCCCTATCCCAAGCGTGATGTATACAACTTCCTTACTTCTCGAGTGATGTAAAGTTGAAAAAAACTCACTCGGTGAGGTAATGAGACCCATTTAAATAACATTGAGTGGTTAACTTAAAAAATATACCTCTATGGAGCCAAAAACGTTCAACGCTAGAAATCAGCTGTGCGCTTGAATGTTATTGTTATGCTTTTAAGTATTTCCTAACCTAGCTTTTGTTTGTAAAAGAACGTTACTGTCAGAAGATGAGTGAAATGGATAATGAAAATATTGTACGTAACCCCATGTATATTGTCGGGTCAGGTAAAATCTTGTACGTTACACGATACGCAAGAGCGTGTTTATATCACTTAGGTGAATTATGACCTGTGTAATGTAAAAATGCTCTTACTACACTTGTAATGTAAATAGCTATTACATCATTAACCGTGGCTGAATAAATTGCGAACATACTTTTAAGATATTAAATAATGTTTAATTAACCAACCGACTAATACAATTCATTCAATGAAGCACCCTTGAACTTGATAACCTTTAATAACCTTAAAGTGAATGCAAAATTTCTTATCAGTAAGGCTGCAGATAGAGCTTGGTCAATGTTACAGTAAAAAAGGTAAATAAAGTTATAGAATAGTTGTTTGTTTACTTATTTATCTTCCTCTACAAAGTAAAAGAAATGTATAGTTAACACACAGCTACTCTTAAGTTGGTAAATAAAGTGTTTCTATACAAACAACGTTATGCTGCTTTCCTTTTAGCAAATTTCTCATATAGGAGGGAGAGAAGCTATTACAGTAGATTTAAAGGTAAGGCCTTGACCCGGGATCGGTTTACTTTTTAGTTTTGATGTCCCCCGAGGCCAAAAATACCATCCGTCCAGATTCAAATATATATAAATTATATACATGTTAGCACGATGAAAATTAGCTTTTCTTAGCTTTTGATCCCCAAACATTATATTAAATTTAATCATTTTGTAGAGCTTAACAGAGCAAATAATTGAATAATATAGGAGTGTTGCTGTACGTCTAATGGATGGAAAGAAAATGTTATACTGTACAACTAAAAATTTAAAATTCTTTTGTTATTCTTATGGAGAAACTGTCGTAGCTTGCTTGTTTACACTATGGATATATTTTTTCCCAAATTTGTGGGTTTTATTTATTTTATACTAAGCTATTGACATTTAATAAAAAACAAACTTTATTGCCTTCCCTGTAGCAACAAACTGAAGTCAAAAGACAATCTTAATAAACAAAGAGAGAGGGATAAGATATAAATTAATCATAAAATAACTATAAAATAACCATTTAAAATGTTTAATAATTTAATCCAGCCTACAGTAATTTAAATAAATAAAAATGGTGAAGATTTGTTGAAGCCATTGAAATTGAAAACAGAATCGACTAATTATCACATAATTTAATTCAACTTTTTGTTTTAACTCTTTTGATTTTGAATGACTTAGAATTAAATTTTTTATTTAATTTTTGTGGAATATATGTGATTTGACTTTTATTGGCAGACATGTACACTTGTTAATTCTACTAATATAGGTATTTATAGCAATTTTTATTTGACTTTTCAAACACTGCTTTTAATCCTAATTCAGGTTACTAGCCTATAAATAGAAAGATCCAGATTAATAGTTAAATTATGATTTCAAACAATTTTAGGGAATGATAATAGGGTAGAAGTGTTTGAAAACTAAAATGGAAACAAACTATGAAAATTATCAGCCTTATCAATAGATTTATTTGCCACTAGAAATATTTGTGAAAGATTGATTAACTCTTGATCAAGAAATTGTATCACAAATTAATGCAGATTGTAGCAAGTTGATTCATTTGTTTAACCAAACGGACTATAAAAAAATTTAAATAATTCTCAAAACGGTTAATTCATAAAATCTTGTTTTTAGCGAATTTCCCATATAGGGAATAAGCTATTACCGTAGTACTCATGGTAAGACCTGGACGCGGGACCGATTTTTTTTTCGTTTTGAGGTCCCTAGAGGCCAAAAACACCATCCGTTCAAATTCATATATATATATATATATATATGTGTCCGTCAGCACGATAACTCGAGCAAAAATGATCCGATTTTGATGAAATTTGGTACAAACGTGTAAACGTACGTTTATTCGAACGAGTTCGCGATCCAGCATGATCGGACCATGGGAACGGGGCTTTACGGGGGGTTTTATGGGGTAAAAATAGGTTTTTCCCATTTTTGACCCAAAAAACATAAAATTTAGCAATTTCTTTCCAAACCATTTTGTAGAGCTTAAAAAAACAAATAATTTAGTATATTGAAGCGTTATTATGCGCCTAATGGTTACGGAGAAAATTCCAAAAAATTGTAAATTTAAAATTCCCATGTTATTCTTATGGAGAATAAGTAAACTGTTGTAGTTTGCTTGTTTGTGAACATATTTTGATCAAATTTGGAAAATGTTTTTATTTCTTACTAACTATTCACATTTTACAAAAAAAAAAAAAAAAAAAACAGTTTTACCCTCCCTGATGAAGCAAACCTAAGTACTTGTTAAACTAATTCTATTTGAATCAAGAATAAATGTTATATTTTTAAGTAGACATTTCAGTGTAAATCCAATCAGTCAAATGGAAATTCGCTTAGTCTGCAGGTTTGCTGCGGCGAGGGTATTGATAATTCATAGAACTATTAATAATGTAAAAATAACTGTGCAAATGAATATTTAAGAAAATATTCTTCTTCAGATAATAAAAATAATAAAGTTTTAAAACCAATTAAATAAAAATTAACTTTGTTCCAATCGCCGCCTTATCATATTCAACTTCAAATTATTTGGTCAATATTAATTTTCCATCTGTATTATCTTCATTCGCGTTTTAAAAGTGAAAAAGGAAAACTTGACCACTAAGAATACTTTATCAAATTCAAAATCGCACATTTTACATTGCCTACAGGTGTACTAGTGGTTGACTCAAGACATCAGATAAGCTCGTAGGCGTGTTGCGATGCAGCTATTTCCGCGCCGGTCCAGGCTATATCCGTCACCAGCAAATGTCAGACTCACGAGACTAAACTGGGTCGCTAACTCTAGACACTCGGCGCACGTCTACTTTTGGTCATCCGATGACTAATGTCACAATGTCGGCAACCGATTTGTAGGCAATCGATTTTAATTTTTTCAAAAGCTTGAGACTATTAAAATGTTGTCAAAACAGATATTGTAAATTGACAAAGTAATCATCTGAAAAATTGTATATCTTTAATAGTAGGCTACTCAAATATAGGCTATACAATTTTAATAGCAGAACGTATATTTTTTTAAGAGTATCAAGACATTTTTGGATTTGTTTCTATTGTGGTTTTCTAAGATATTATTATTAAAATATAGTTTATAAAAAGAAATAGCCTAATTTTTATTTTGTATAAAATGTTACAATTTTTACAAGCTATACAAAAACAACAATAAAGTTAGTCGATTAATTAGCCTGAGCATTTTTTTTATCCAAATAAAAAGTTGATTCTCAACTTATATATGACTACTGTACAAACTCTGGTTTCCTAATTTGTCCAGGTAATTTAAGGATAAAAATACCAAAAGCAATATAAGTTTGAAAAATAGAGCAAAATAAAAAAATGTCAAGATTGTAATTTTGATCACTTTATTATTAGAATCATCATATTTTAGTACAGTTGAACCTCGTTTGTACGAACCTCGATAAAACGAATTCCTCGATAAGACGAATTTTTTTAAATCCCCTTGACACCTTCATATAGGTCAATGCTAAAAACACCTCTATACAACGTAGTAAATAAGTTAAAAACCTCCATAAGACGAATTTGTTTGTGACATGGTCTAGGACTGATTAACCTCTATACAACGAATATTCTTAGGACAGAACCTCTACAAGACGAACGTGACCTCTATAAGACGAATTTATCATAATCTTAACCTCCATAGTACGTAGTTTTCAAAACAAACAGAAGCTTGTCTCAACATGAAACCCCCACCCATCCCTCCTCCTTCCTCAGTCATTGTTTGGAGAAACCTTGGAGCGAGGAGAAACCTCTATAAGAAGAATAACAGCAGCATTAAACCTCGATAAAACGACCCTCTTTATTAAGAATACCTCTATAGTACGAATTTTTCCCGTACCCCTTGAAATTCGTCTTATAGAGGTTCAACTGTAACAGAGTTAAACACTAATCTCAAAATAATAAGCATAACCTTGTAGGCCTACTTACAATTTATTTATTTCAGAATACTTGTGTACAGACAATAAGTAGGTACCTTGTGTAGGGGCCTACCTACATTGTACAGAAAGATAAAAGTATATAAACAAAATTTTGAGAATTATACTTTTTTGATTTCCGATACACTTTTCTTGAATAAGGGAGGCTATTCCTTTTACATACTCGTACGAATCTACTCAAGATTCTACATCTTTACAGCATGCAAAGCTCCCTTTCCATACAAGATCATTACTGGTCCCATATAGGCCTACCATTTGTCATAAACTATAAATTAATGATGCTAAACATATAAGATAGTAGGGTTTTCATACGTGTGAATTTTAGCCAATCAAATCAAATCAAATTATCCTTTATTCATTTAGTATACATATACATAAATAGCGTCAATACAATAATCGTGATAAAACAAATATCTTAAAACTAATGTACAAGAGTCAGTGGAAAAAATCTTTTACCTTATAACAGCATTTACTACATAAAAACTTAAATAACTGTTTTTTAAACGACTTAAGGGAAGCTGCAGATTTAATCGAATCAGGCAGGTTATTGTAAAACTTAACACCAGAGTAGTGGGGAGAAGATTCTAAAGTTGAGGATTTATGTTTAGGGTATAAAAGGCAGCTTTTGTGTCGGGTATTATAATTATGATTGTCCGAATTAACAGAAAATTTAGAAATATTTTGTTTCATAAAAATTAATAAATTGTAGATATACAGACTGGGAAAAGTAAGGATATTATTGCTTTTAAATGTATTTTTACAAGAACCCCTAGCTTTGATAGAATAAATTGTTCTAATTATTCTTTTTTGCAATTTAAAAACTTTTTTATTTTTGTCGGAATTTCCCCAAAAAATAATTCCGTAATTGAGAATAGTAATTTCAATATACTGGATTTTTGGACCATGGGGTTAAAACGGGATTTTAAGCTGAGACCTCATTTTGCTTGGTATTGCTTTCCTGATAAACATTAACCCAAAATAAACAGATTATATTAGTAGGCCTATAGTATTGCTATTTAACATGAGAGGTCAAAATCATCAATTGGGATAGCCCTAAAACATATTTTTACGAAATTCATGTGAGATGAAACAGCATTTTTCGTTATACTAAAATATAATTTCACCGACCCCGTCAGCGGGATAATTATTTTATGTGGAAACACTGTTTGGACCCCTTTCATAAATGTTAAAAATTCTAATGGTGAAGAAAAAATTAAAATACCACACACAACATGGGAATGGATGTTAAATAATTAGTTAATCCTTAAATCATAGGTTAACAAATGGAATCATTAGGTTTTACATGATAATAAAGACTGATTCTGATTCCAAAATTATGATTGTAAACATATCTTGACTCACCGGCTACTGTCCTTTGTGATGGCTGAGCTTGGAGTCTAGAGTTTAGCACAAGTCCATTAGAGTGTTGAAGTTCAATCACCATAGTCTCCGTGTCGTCTACATCTTCCCTTTCTATCTTGATGGGTTGTAAATCCAAGGGTTCTTGTTTGATTGGAACATCATCTGTGAAAAATTTGGTTTTTATTAGCAAATTTCCCATTAGGGAATAAGCTATTACCGTAGTACTCAGGGTAAGACCTGGACCCGGGACCAATTTACTTTTTTAATCCGGTTTCGATGAAATTTAGTACAAACGTTTAAACCTACATTTATTCGAACGAGTTCGCGAACCAGCTTGTTCGGACTATGGGAACGGTGGTTTATGGGGTAAAAATTGTTTTTCCCAATTTTGACCCAAAAAACATAAAATTTAGCAATTTCTTTCCAAACCATTTTGTAGAGCTTAAAAAACAAATAATTTTAGTACAGTGAAGCGTTGTTATGCGCCTAATAATTATGTAGAAAATTCCAAAAAATTGTAAATTTAAAATTTCTATGTTATTCTTATGGAGAATGAGTAAACTGTTGTAGTTTGCTTGTTTATGAACATACTTTGATCAAATTTGGAAAATGCATTTATTTCTTACTAAACTATTAACATAAAAAAACACTTTTTAACCTGTTGCAGCAAACCTAAGTACTCGTTAAACTAATTATATTTAAATACGGAATAAATGTGATATTTTTAAGGAGACAATTTAGTGTAAATCCAATAAAGCAATTGGAAATTCACTTAGTCTGCAGGTTTGCTGCGGCAGAGGTGTTTATGGATGTGATTTATGGTTAAGTTTTTTGCCATGAATCAAATTTATACAACCAACTTAGTTCCTGAATAGATGAGCCAAATACACAAAGAACTACAACTGGGTCTATTGAGTTCTTGTTCGCTCAGCATATCAACTGTGATCAGATATTTTCATGTATGAATGCAAAGTTTTTTTCCACCATAAACCTAATTTAATTACAACCAAATTAGTTCTTGAATTATTAAATTCAAAGCCAAAAACAATCAAGAATGACTTAGTGCTTCAATTTAGTCTATGAGTTTCTGTTTGATGAGCCCATCATGAGTTCTTTTAGCGAATTTCCCTTTAGGGAAGTAGCTAATTAGCCTACCGTAAGACCTAGGCCCAGGACCAGTTTACTTTACTTTTTCATGAATTTCCCTTTAGAATTGCCGTAGGTGGCATGGTAAGACCTAGGCCCAGAACCAATTTACTTTACATTTTCATTTTGATGTCCCCAGAGACCAAAAACATTATTCTTTCAAATTGTTTATAGATTTATAAATACTTATATATAAAATATATAATACGTCCGTGAACGTGATAAATCTTTGGTGAAATTTGACTCGGAACGTGTAGAGCTGAATAAGGTTGAATGAGTTCAAGAACCAGATTGGTTCATGAGAACAGGGTCAACTTATATTGGGTTTGGAGATTTAAAAAAACATTTTTTTTCAAATTTGTACCCTAAAAACATAAAAATGTCTTATTTTAACTACAGCTATCTTGTGGAGCTTGATCAAGGAAATAATTTTGTATACTAAAGCATTGTTGTAAAACTAAATGCTACAGGGAATATCCCCAAAAAACTGTTCATTTAAGATTTCTATTTCTATGTTGTTCTTATGGAGGAAAATAAAACTGATGTAGTTTGCTTGTTTTTGGATGTATTTGACAAATTTATTTGTTTTATCCTATTATACTAAATTATTAACATTTTGTGAACAAAACAACACTTTTTACCTTCCCCGTAGCAGCAAACCTAGGTACTTATTAAATCTAATGTTGTTTAAATGGAGAATCAAAATATGTCTTGTTTGGAAAATTTTTAGTTAAAACCCAATCAGACAATTTGTAATTCAGTTAGCCCGCAGGTTTAATACAGCGGGGGATATATTTTGATGAGATAAAAAAACCCAAGTATTTTATACACCAACAATGTTTATAACAACAACAAACTTAGTTTAACAAATATATTACATTAACTTCATATCAGTTTTTAAAAAGATTGAATAAATACCGGTAACAGAACTCTTGCTGTTTTTAACTATTGGCGGTGTACCAGTAGCAGGGAAAACGCACCTGCAGATAAGGAACTGAGCAAATGCTGACTAAAAGTGTGACCTTCAAAATACAGCAGCAAACTCTACTCTCAGCAGTTTCCGTTTGTGCTTGTCCAGACTTTTAAACATCTTTATCAGAGGAAATGTTATTTAGAACACACCTGTGTTTTTACAATTTTCACTCAACTATAGATCGAGTTTAATTAGTAAAACTTCTCAAAAAATATTAAGTTGATAAATTCAACCTGTTACGGCATCATAGGGTGTTTATAGTAGAAATATGATTGCATTTATAAAATATGATCAAAATCTCTGTTTAATTCAGTTTAGAATAAGTTTGTATTGTCATGACATGGCTAATCCAAAAAAACACTTTATTAACTTGGCTAATGAACAATTTAATTGTTTAACCTATTGAATAAACCCTGAAAAATAATATGATTAACAAATGTGTGAGAAACATCCATTGAAGTAATGATCTTATTAAATAATAAAAAATATAATCAAAGACAAGAAGTCCTCCCTAGGTACAAGTTAACAATGATTGTTCCAGAATAACATTTAGACAAACATTGCAACTTTTCTGATATTATCCAAACATATATTTAATAGAAGGCCTACAGCAAGGGTTTTCTTTTTTTTACTATGAAACTGCCAAGCGTCCAGTTGTGTCACCTGTTTTGGTTTACATTGTAATACACACTGTTTATTTCTGATTGTACAATAATTATATTGGCTCATTACTTTTAGGCAGTTTTGTTCTCCTTTCTTTTGATTTTTTTCCCTCACCTTTCATACCACTCTTCTTATGTTGCTGAGATTTGTATTTCTAGATTGTAAATACAACAATTGTCAAAAAGATAAAAAGTTGTTGTTTGTTTATAATGTACTTGCTTGCTGTATATGTATACCTGTTATCTTGACAATATTTTTAAATGCTTGTACTAATTTAAGTCTTTAAATTGTTAACTGGTTTATGCCATCCCTAATAAAGTTGAAGGTAGTCTGTATTATTTTAAAAGAGATGAAGCGAGAGAGCAATGGTTACAAAATTGTTGGAACAACTAGCTCTGAACTGTGAAAGCAAGAAGTGTTGGTTTGGATTGTTATCAAAAAAAGTAATTCAAGTTGGGTTTTAATCTGGTACGGTATTTATAAAATTTGGGTTTTCTTTTCCGAGTTCGTTTGGCTCTGCTACCCGACCTATTTTCATGATTAAGGTCTCAAATTGAAGGTATGCACTCACAGATTTGTCATCAAGCATTGGCATATATTTATCTATAGGCCTAGTCCCACTCGGCTTATAGGTAGATGAAATTTGCTCCCGATGTAATTCTTATGGGAGTTAAATTTGGTTTCTCTAATAATGGTTTAATTTACCTTTGTCAGTTGTCCAACCTTTGTGTTTGGTTTAATTGTCCTTGCGTAGTTTGTCACTACTGCAGTTTCTTGCTCGTGGAGCACATCTTCAGGTGAAGATCACGAAAGTTAAAACATTTTCTTCATGTGAATTTCGTCAATTTTTGAAAAAACACCAAAAACATATAACACACGAACGGTACGAAAAAACATTTACATACTTGGCCAATACATTAAAATGTAACACACGAGGTCCGGCGCCGGTAGAAGGCAAGTCATGACTCATGTCTTAAAAACACCCTACTCGTGTGTTACGTTTTAATGTATTGGCCAAGTTTGTAAATGTTTTTTCGTACCGTTTGTGTGTTATATGTTTTCAGTGTTTTTTCAAAAATTGACGACCTTCACATGAAGAAAATGTTTTAACTTTCGTGATCTTCACCTGAAGATGTGCTCCACGAGCACGAAACTGCAGTAGTTTTTTATCCAAAGTTTGGAATTTTATCAATGAGTTGAGATGGAAACTTAAGTGTGTATTTTAACCCAAATGTGAGTGAAGGATAGCCTACATAGAATGTTGTGAAGGTGATTTGTGTAGGCCTAGCTTTGTTACTGACTAGGATCAGCCAGGATCATTTATTCAAAGTCCAATGATCAGGGTCAGTTGGGTCCAGTTTCAAATCATCAAAAAGCTACTGACTTTTCTCACGATCGAGCCAGCAATCTTTTGCACTTTAACCACTCAGCTACCCAGCGATTAGGGACTTGTATGCCTAAAAGCCTGATTGGCGAAAGCCAATGCCTTCGGAAAACGCATACTCGCATACAGTGTTCCTATTTTAATACACAACTAAACTTATTGGAAAATTAAGAATTATGAAATTGACCCTATGGGGTGAAGAAGCTTTAATGTTTTTAATTGTTTTAAAAAGAACAAGGAAAAAGTAAACAAAAGACTTGTTTAACAACCCATCAACAGTAGGCCTATTATAGCAAATTACAAAATAGGGAAAGGAGAAAATATTCAGTTGTAAATTAAACAAAGATTACTAAGAATAAGTTAGGCTATAAGTTGGTTGTAATAAGAAATAAAAAATAGACTCATCATTTAAAACTGTAGGCCTAATGACACATTACTACCTCCTCGTCATGTTGTAAGGTGTTTAAACTTAGCTTGTTATTTTGAATGCCGAATCTATTTTAATTTAACTCGGGCTTCATTATTTTGTAGGCCCTACTTGTTTAGGGTTTTTAATGTAAAATAGGCTACCATTTATGCATTTTATACATTTTAAGCTACAGTACGTTATTTAGGCAACTGCAATTAAAAACCTTGTTTTACAAATTTCAAAGTCAGCTTGTTATTTTGAGAAGGGCCTTTGGTAACTTAATTGTCGATTTATACTAAAATAATACCAGAGCCTTCATTTGGTTTAATAGTTAAAACAATAAAATAGCCTAAGTTATTTACAAAAAAATTGTTTTATTACCAGTACAAATCATATTCAACATTTAGTCAGCTACCCGCAGTGTGCTTCCTGCTTCAGAGTTGCTGGAGCCACCGATTCCTTTGAAACCAATGGGACTTTTGTCCTGGGGACGCGGTGCCCGATTAGGCTCATCTGCTAAGCTTGCAGCGTGATTTGGAGCACTGCCAAGGGAACAGTTTGTTGTGGACCACGCTGCCAAACTAGGCTATTGTTTTTTTAATAAATAATTTTTTATTTAAGGGAGGAGGGCAAATGCCTTTACGCACACAGGTAGCCAGCAAGTAGTGTGAGACTCCTGAAATTATCAGACTACTCACTAAAAAAACCCTCTACTCTGTTGGACACAGACCTGGAATTGTTTGTCACATTACTTCAAGTTTTACTTTAGGCTATTGTTTACAATAAAAATATGGAGAATACTAGATTGAGTGAAGTTATCAAATTACCTGTTTATGACGACAGTTTATTAATTGGCTATGTGTCTAATTTTGAAGTTTGGTAAAAAATTAGCTATCCTGAATTAAAAGAGCTACCTAGATGTTACTTGAAGGAGATGATTTCTAAAAGCACCCTCATGGGATTTAAGTTATACAGTTCACTACAGGATTTTCAACATTAGGACAGTAGACCTAGGGCTAAGTCCACATCTTTGTCGATACTTTCCTGTTAAAGGGAACATTCATTGAAAAGTTGTACTGAAAAGAAATCATTGATAATAATGAATGTTACCTTTAACTGGAAAGTACCTCTCTTTTCCTCTTCGACCATTAACATAGAAGCGAGAATCCATATCAGAATGCTTAGGTTACAGTAGGGACCGAAAAATAAATTATCGTAAAGATGTATCGAAAAGAAATCATTGATAACAAATAATGTGGTACAAAACAAAGAAATAATCACTTAGGCCTAACTCTTTCATTTTTAAACTTGTCCAGACTACTTAGGCCTATTCTTCAAGGGAAAGTTATTGGAGATTATCATGATCCTTGCAAAGAATCTATAAATAAATGGCACTGAGGTATTATCCGGAGGCCACCCTCATACAGCGTGCTGCGACGCATATGTTAGGTTGGGTTATCATAAATGGAAAGAACATAGGTACCTGAATTGACTTAATGTCCGAATTTGACATGATTACAATTAGCGGCCTTTGAGTTCTGCCTCCCAGAAGGCAGCAATGTTGGCGAAATTGAGTTGAATGTGTCACCGCCTCTAGCTGCCACACAAGATACATGCGGTGACAGGTTATGCACACGCTCTGGACAAAGACCTAACCTTGGCCTACTTGGAGGGGATTTGGCGAGCGAAAGGATGACTTATCTGGTATTGTTTTATTCATAATTAAAAGAGGAAAGTCCTTCAAACATACTTATGATACCCCAACCTAACATAACCACCGCAGCGTAGTTTATAAGGGTAGCCTCTGGATAATACAAAAGTAGGGCCTAAAGCTTTTTTGTGATGTCGTGAGTGTAGGCCTATGCCTAAGTTACCTTCAGAATAAGTTGACTAAAATATTACTTTCTTAAGACTAAACTTATTGTGAATCTAATGAAATAGTCCAAGTAATAGGAATAAGTTTGACAGGTCTAAGTAATAACTTAAGTATCTGTCAAGTCAAGGTCTTATATTTTCAACCGCCAAAAATGCAACTCATTTAGTCTTCTATGTACAACACTTTTAGGTAACTTATTGTGTTGGTTCCATGAGGGAAGACTAGGGCCTACGTAGGCCTAAGTTAAAACTCATATTACTGTTCTCTTTTGAAAGTCAAGGCCACATAACCAAAGCTTCACTAGGCATAGACTAGCCTAGTGTCATTAAATTTGATGAATTTGACCACTCAGCCTATTTTTTCCAAACTAAGTTAGTAAACCTTAAGTTAATCATCAAAAAGAGATATAAAGCCAAGTAACTTACTAACTTAATGGTTACTGACCCGGATGTCAGTTACCTAATTTAAGTAAGCTACAAAAATGTTAATTTATCAGGAAGCCATTGAACAAAGTACATTGTCATTGTGATGAGGCAAATAGCCTACATCACTTAACTTATTTCGAGTAAGTTTAACCTGATCAGGCCGTTTTTCCTTTAGTTGACATTTTATCAAACTCCAGAGAGGGCTAAAAGTAAACTGTAAGATGATTCCTAAGGTATTTTCGTGTCCTGCGCATATAACAAAGTTTAGTCTTATTCGTAAAACCACGTGGTGTCTCTTTTGACCTTAGAACTAGACAACAAAATAACACAATATTAAGCCTAATTCAATAAAAAATAACAATAAATAATTGCAACTGCTTATCTATTCGAACAAATAAGATAGTTGTACTTACAAATCTTGGTTTTCAACATCGTGCAGTTTGTCTTAAAATAACAACAACCGAGAGCTTTCAAATGTCAATGTGACACATGGATTCTAAGCCGAAAGTTATTGCTGAAATGATCGTAACGACGACCCATTCAAAGTAGAAAAGCAAGGCACGTTATTATTTTAACACAAATCGATTAAGATACGTTTTTAAATGAATGTTTCTTTTGTATAAATTTTAAGATAGTCTGAACTGTCTAACCGCTTCAGAAAACGAGAATTGAAGGACCCGTTGAAAGCATGAAAGGTACGAGCGGCACGAGGCAGCCAATGCTACCTGCATTGACATTTGTTTTTTAGCAGTTAGTTTTTTTTTTAATAGCGTTTTCGTTAAATAAGAACACACTATACAAAAGCTATAAAAAATATACATATACACAGTCATATAATACTAATTTAATTCACATCAATGGTTTTGACTAAAATCAGTACTGTGTTTTGGCATTGGTAAACTTGATCATTTTTTATTTATTTATATATTCATATCAATGGTCAAATCAATACATAAATATGACAAAACGTTATATGACTTAAGTTAAAAAGAGACATTGTTAAAAGCAATTTACAGCCAACTTGTAGTAATATTCACTAAATAGAAGGATAATATAACAACAAAAAGATATAACGAGATATAATATTAGAAGAGATAATGGCTCTGACGATAAAAAAAATCCATACATAAAAGATAAGTGTTGGTTAGTCTGAGATAAAACCATAGACTAGAGTGAAAATTTAAAAACGTACGTTTTCATGTCCCTGGCCTTTTACTTCGTAGATACTGGATTTGTAGTTTATTATTATGTGTTTTAATATTTTTTGGGACGGGGGCAACATGTTACACACATTTATTTAGTTTTAAATAGGTTCTAGGTATTTTTTTCGTATTTTTAAAGTCTCGAAATTCACGACCATGACGTGTCCCTAGGGTACATTTTCCAACTTTCACGCTGTTTTTAGACTAATTATTCATGCCGAAATATATAAAGTCATATTTTTATGTTATCAATGGTTATTAAACTTACAAAAAAGGAGTATATTATAATTTTATTGTCATTGCAGACTGACTACCATGACAAAATAAGTCTGTCCCTCGATTTGGCGTCACGACCATTTGGGAAAATTTTTCAACTTTGGAGCACGACAGTGGCAAGCCTGGCGTCGATGGAGTCAGTTGGTTTTAGAGACTAGTTCGGGGTGTACGTCAGGATTGTAGTGCCGGTCGTTTTGAGTTGAAAGGAGGAATTACAAGATTAATAAAGGAAAGATTGTGTTTTTTGTAATTTTGGTGTGTCCATGACCGTACGTAGTCATTCGATGAAGTAGACATGGTGTTAATTTTTGTTTATAAGATATTTCAATTGCTAGATCAACCTAGAAGTCCACTTTGTATCCTCGAACATGAGGTGCAGGGCTACCGCCAGAACAGAGCCAAATAACACGTAATTTCACGACCAAAGTTTCACGACCATCGCGGTTTTTTTCACGACCAATCCAGCCTTATGGATTATAGTGAGTTTGGTCGTGACAATAACTTTAATATAATTGTAAATTGAACAGTTTAGTTCAATTGAAACACATAGTTTTATTATAACTAACAGTATAATTGAAGGATTGTTTGGAAAGATTTAGATTATTCCAGACAATTCACGACCGTACCGCTTGTCCCTGACCATCACGTTTATGATTTCTATCATAAAAATTTCAAAAATTGAAATATCGTCATATTTCAATGTTGTATACACAAAAGAAGCACACCTCTATACAAACATAACGATTTTTCGGGTCTCAGGTAAGTTTTTTCGGAGTTATACAAACTTAAAAAGATTTTATTGGCTTTTTTCTATTTTTTGAGTTTTTTAAATTTTTTTCTAGAAAGACCAAATATACCAAAAGCTCAGTGACCTTTTTATTGTATAATGGTCATAAAAGTAAATTAGTTTATAGCAAAACATAGTTATAAAAATAATATTAACTATTTTTAATATTCATTTAAACGTCCGTTATGGTCGTGACAGGATTTTGTGTTTTTCTACTAAAGATGCTCTTTAAAAAGAAAACTACCAAAGATATTGCGTTACCATGGACATTTTATGAAACTTAAAATGTTAATGAAATAAAAATAATAATAAAAGTTTTGAAAAAAGGGGAAAAAAATTTGCAAAGTGCTTTTCCTGAAAACGTACGTTTTTAAATTTTCACTCACTAACATAAAACCATAGATAAAACATACTTTTCCTACAGTTACCTAACAATGTACATGTTCTCTCACTGATTTGAGAAAGCAAAGTGGCCAATTCGCTCATCAGTGAGACAATGTTAACATTGTCTCACTCTAATTACTTTGTCTCACTCCAGATTTGCAACGTGAAGGCACGAAATAGTGAGCGCGTAACATGCAGGCAACGTCGTATGCACGCGAAATACGTTGGCAGCACTGGCTGTAAATCAGCTGGTCAGCTGTTGTACTGTTGTATTTGTCACTTCACATAAAATTTTATATTAAAAGTTCACTTCTGTGTAAAAATAGGTTATGTTTCTTCACAAATTTATTTGTTTTATGGTAACTGTAGGAAAAGTATAATGTGCAACTCGAGTTTAAAGTACAATTGCCTCACTCGAGAAACCATTCCTCACTCGCCTACGGCTCGTGAGTAAGGATTTCTCTCGAGTGAGTCAATTGCTCACTTTTCTCACTAGTTGCACAAATAACTAATTTATCATCCTTATGGAACAGCTGAAGACAATTTTATTGTTAGTTCATGTACGGTTTATGTAGAGGTCGTGTTTTGTTTACAATTTGTTTCCCGTTATTACAGCCATTTTGCCATTTAAAACCTCGTTTAACTAAATAATACGATCTAATCATAAACAATAACTTGTCCCCTAGTTATATAACCAAACAGTAAAGCACAAATCAAGAAATTAACCCTAAAATAATAGAAACAAAATTTCGTCGGCACTAGCACCCAGCGTGGCGTACATGAACTAGACACGAAAAACGTGCTTCAAAATTTACAATGGGATGAGAAGTCTACTTGTGTTGGTTAGTCTATGATAAAACATACTCCCTTAAAAAAACCTACTCCCTTAGATTTCCCATCCTAATGGAACAGCTGAAACCAATTTTATAGTTAGTTCTGTCCGGTGCACTGTAGATGTCATGTTTTGTTTACAATTTGTTTCTTGCTATTGCAGGAATTAAAACCCGGTTATACAAATAAAACGATATAATCATAAACATTGACTGATCCTCTAGTTAAGATATAAATAAAACAGTAAAGCAGAAATCATGAAATTAACTCTAAAAAATATAGAAACAACATTTCGTCAACACCAGCCCCCATAGTGTCACCGGACATGAACTATAGACACGAAAAACCAGCTTCAAAATGTTCAATGAAATGGGAAGTCTACTAACTACTTGTTAGTCTATGCTGTTTGTCTCAAAATGTTTTTTTTTTTTTCAATTTCAACTCCCGTTCTCACCTAAGCCAATCCCCTCCTATTGACATTTCCTACACACATGAAATGAAATGAAAATCCTTCTTTATTTTGATTCAAAATAAAGAAGGATTTTCATTTCATTTCATGTGTGTAGGAAATGTCAATAGGAGGGGAATAAAAATAAAAAATGAAAATCCTTCTTTATTTTGATTCAAAATAAAGAAGGATTTTCATTTCATTTCATGTGTGTAGGAAATGTCAATAGGAGGGGATTGGCGTAGGTGAGAACGGGAGTTGAAATTGAAAAAAAAAAAACAGAGTTTGGTTTTAGTTGTTAATACTTTCTTATGAAATGGCAACCATACTATAAGTAGGTATTTTAAGCCAAGTATGCATGGAGATGAGTATTGGATGAGTGGCGCGATCTTGTAGTCTTGTTAGCTGACTAAGGCCGACATATTTCTTAGACACAGCTAATAATTAATAGTCCATGCAGCTAATGGCAACTAAGGGACCTACAGTTAATGCCTTAATGGTGGAATCCGAACCACATTTTTGCCTTGGCATTAACGAATTGGTCTAATTATCGGAACAGTACCGCGGATAGTCGTAGTACTCACTAGTGCAGACGTCAATCAACACCAGGGATTATCACATCCACAGTGCATGCAGCCTATAAATCCACAATTCGTGACCTCCTAGTAGCTATGGATTAAAGGACGACGCCAGTCATGTTTGATGGTGATATGCCAACGGAGGCAGTAGGAAATGTAGTTTTGGATTGTGATTGTGGCCAGTCGTATGAGGAAGTAGTAGCGTCGGCGAGAAGTCCAGAATGCAGAGTCATCAGCAAACTGAGCAAGACTACAGTATATCCTGGTAACACTGATCGCTATAGAGTCAACGATATTATGTTTAGGGTTAATTTCACGGTTTCTGTTTGGTTATATAACTAGGGGACGAGTTATTGTTTATGATTAGCACGTTTTATTTGGTCAAATGAGTTTTTGAATTACTGAAATTACGAGAAACGAATATTTATTAAAACACGACATCTACAGTGTACCGGACAGAACTAACGATAGAATTGCCTTCAGCAATTCCATAAGAATGAAAATCAACTAAGGGAGTATGTTTTATCATATAAGTCTAGTGTTATATACGATTCTATCAAAAGTCGAATAGTCAAGGTTATATTCTTACTGTATTTTTGTTTTACGATAAATACAACATGAACTCGCTTACATAGTAGTATGTTTTCTGTGATTACATACATGAAACTGCTGGTCATAGTTCATTCACAACATGCAAGCACTGTTAGTACCTGCTTACTTGATGGATCGATGGATGCAAGAGGTCAAATGGGTTGATGAAAATATCGGTACAGCACCCTAATTGCTTACATAGCTTAAAACCAGTGGTGTGGTCGTAGAGCGCTCACCATCGTCCCCGAAAAAAACCCTTGGCCCTGTTTAGGATAGAGGATTTTAAAATAGCTGTGAGTGAACGAACACCTTCACTCCCACAACACCACTGCAATATGTGCAATGACATCATAGACAAAAACATTTTGTCAATGGTGACATAAGTTAATTTTCTCAATCTTCCACAGTCACAAGCATGTTTTGTGAGACTATTGAAAAACTATGATTTGAGACGTACTTTTAAAATAGATTAATTAAATGTTTTAGCAATTCTTTAGTATGGGAAAACTAAAACATAATCAGAAAAATCAGTTTCTTGGTTACACCAATTGCTCTTTTCCACAAATACTCTGAAGACTAGCCATAGAATATTTGAATATTTTTTAGAAATCAAATTATCACAACAAATATAAAGTAGTAATAAACATTATTGCCTTGTGGTCCTTACAGAGCCAACCAAGTTTTACTTGTAACCAAGGAGATTGATTAAAGTTATGAGCTATCCACTTCTACGTCTACATATCCAATGGAAACCCCTGAAAATGAACAATGATACCCCAAGCCTTAGTCACTTACAAGACTACAAGATCGCGCCACTCATCATACACTCATCTCCATTATTACTTGGCTTAAAATACCTACTTTGTATGGTCGCCATTTAATAAGAAATTAAGTATTAAAGCCAGCTAATTATTATCCAAAACTAGTATTGTTTATTTAAATGAAATTTGGCACCTTCCTAACAAGTCATAGGAAGAACATAATACATAAGTATCTAAAAACTAAAGTTTATAGGGAAAGTAAATGGGTAAAGAATATGGAACCATCAAACTACCTGCTACAGAAAGGCAAGCAGAGCACCGAGACTGACCACAGTGACCAGACTAGGTCTAAACTCCTGTCAGTTGGGTCACAAAATTCTAGTTATGTGTGTTGTGTTTGTTTTTAAACTGTGTGGAATATGGAACTTCAGAAGAAGTGATGTTACTGTCCCTTGTAATGCCTGATGATGGCTAAAAAGAAAAGCCAAAACTAGTTGCAACTGTAACCAATATGATAACCAATGATAAAGGTATATAAAATTAAAATTCATATTTTGATCACAATCTTTTTAACACACCAATTTAAATTTGTATTGTAAACTAGCTGGCCCGACAGACGTCTTCCTGTCCTAATGTGGTTTTATGTCAAATGCTCGTTCATTTTCAAGAAGAGCTCGTTCACATGGCTCAATCACGTCCTGGTTGAAGTTCATTCGCTACGCTCACTCACCTTTAGGTTGGAGCTTGTTCGCTGCGCTCACTTGCCTTCAGATAAGCTCGTTCGCTACGCTAACTTACTTCCAGGTTGAAGTTCGTTCGCTACGCTCACTCACCTTTTGGTTGCAAATTAGCTTTTGTCATAAATAAAAAAAAATAATAATAGTGCTGCACCATGTTGGTAAACCTATTACATTTTTAATGCTATTGAACATCACAGAAACAAATTCTTTAGTTGAACCAGCTGTTAAGATTCTTTAATTCCATTTAAATATGAGTACTCATGTTCAGAGCCACTGGGGTGGAGCCCTTTTGACGGACCTGCACCAAACTTCACACAAACCATCCTTGAATAATGCTTAATAATACCTGAAAGTTTACATTACAATCTGTCGATCAGTTTCACTTCAACCTGGAGGCGAGTTAGCGTAGCGAACGAGCCCTAGAGTGAGCGTAGCGAACGAACTTCAACCAGGACGTGATGGAGCCATGCGAACGAGCTCACTTATGAAGTAAAACGGGGCAAAGCCCGCGGGTACAGCTAGTAGATAATATAATGGGAAAATTAATTTAGAATATAAATTTACAATTATATTCTTAAAAGATGAATTACAAAGAAATGTTGACACCCGAACAAGATTACTTTAAACTATACCTAAATATTATTATAAATAAATATACAAAATAATTACAGAACTGGGCTGGCCTATAAAGCATAAGACCAGAATAACTGTAAACACTTCCAAATAAGACTGTTGACTGTTAAATTGACTGCAAACAAACTCCACCACATTTCAAACTTCACAAACATAACACATAATAAATAAGTGTAGACAATGAATAACAATTGAGATGTTTCAGTGTACAACACAAAATCAAACCACTGCTAAATTAAACAAAGAAAAGTAAACACAAAGTAAAATTATTATTAGGGAATGTCACTAGTCATAATAACTAAAAAAAAAAACTGAGTAAATCAATCAGAACAAGAAAAACTATAATACAATCATGTTAATATAAGCTGAACGATTTCAACACTTATACACTGGTATCCCCAATAACATGAGACAAAATTATAACTAGCTAAAACATTATGAAAGCAAATTTTATTCTACTTTTAGCAGGTAATTGTTGGTATTTTTTCAGCAATTTGAGTTTGTCTGAATACAATTCATTTTTTTACTGTAACTGAGAAGTTAAATCAAATTGAGTTGGCTATGAGAGGCACACATGTGTCTCTGATTTGATATCAAATGCCGTTTTAGATTGGCAAGTTAACTAAAACATTAAACAATCCTCGTTGTGATCTAACTGAAGAAACTCTCAATGTCACAAATCTTATTACAGATCTAGTAATAAGCACAATGTAACAAATTTTCAATTTTATTAAATCCACCACTAATACCTACTATGGCCAAAGTTATTACATTTAAAATTTTTAATTGTCCAATTATCTACTGAAATAACTTAATGGCCTACCCGTACTTAAAAACTAATTATTCAACAAATTGTGCTAGCCTATTGCAGTAAAGTTTTTTTTATAGATGTGTAGCCTGATAATGGAAACCTAAAACTTTTTATGTTTGGATAAATATTAGTACTAAGATACCTTTAAATGTTTGTTCTCACTTGACTTTTACTCCATAAACCACCAATTTAGTTTCTTCCCGACAAAATATTACTGAACAATATTATGGTGTTTACATTAGGAACTGAGATACCCTTTAAGTGGGTAACAAAGCAAAATTCATCAAACCTTTTAGTTTCAAATTACAAAACCTGGAGTAGCAAGTAAATTACAAACAGACTACAATTAGACGTAAATGCACAAAACGTTAGTTGTAATTTTACTATAAAAAACAATTCTTAAAGCATAATATGTAAATAATTTGAAATCTCAAAAGAAAATTTACAGAAACATACTGATATGCATTATATAATAAAATGTTCTCAGCATTTAAACAAAACGACACCTTGTTCACGTTCAAGGGGAGGTTTCGAGACGTCTCTTCTTATTGGAAGTGTTCTCTTCACTAGAGTCAATGTTCAGATGGTCCCGTTTCTTTAAGGCGTTCTAAAACAGAAATAAAACATGAGACAATTTTTAATTTTTTCTTGCGTAGTGGGAATCACCTCCAAGTGTTATCCTACTACGCTTATACCAGTTCTTACCTAACGTAGTCCACTGTATGGCTAAAAGATAGATGGTTATGGACTAACTAAGGCAGTCCTCCCGGCTGGGGTTATATTCCAAATCAGCAACTCTTGAGCTCTAACTTTTAAATAAAAAGTATATCAAAATGCATGGTAAAACTGTAAATATCAAGAGATTCTCTACATAAAGTGTTTGAATTATCTAGACTGAACTAATTTATTTTTGAGCGGAGCGAGAGAAGCTCTTATATGTTGACTCTTATGCATTTCGTAATACGCAAACTCCTCCTAGACGGCTGAAGTAATCGTTTTCAAATTTTGCATGGTGATAAAGACCATGTCGGTGAGTGCCAACATCTATATGGCGTCAAACATATCCCTTAGGAATCCGCCTCACGGGCCCTCAAAGTTGGATTGTAATCCTAATGGAAGCAGTATTTGATACATAAACAAAGGCATAAGGTTAGCTGGTGACTTTTTAATTAAGTAGATCAAGAAATAGCTGATAGCATTATTCCACGGATATTACAACAGAAACGGTATGGATCATAAATAATACTGTATAATAAAAATGACAACACTAGCCTGAATCGTATACTAATAACCTTAACATCTTGTTTGGACGTATATTGACAGTTCTATTTTGAATGATAAAACAAACATGTTTGCTTTGAGCCCATCCAACTAAATTAACAGTTGAAGTGGCGTTTGAAGGCTTGTTCTAGGCTTACTTGGGGAAACCTTAAATGTAATATTTTTAGTAACCCCTATATTAGGGATGAATTGGTTTGTGAATTAGTATATGATTTAAGAAAATTGGGTTGGCTTTTCCGAGTTTGTTTGGCTCTTCTAGCCGACTGATTTTCATGATTGACGTCTCAAATTATTGAAGGTATGCACGGCATGCACAGATTTCACATTAAGCATCGGCATATATATATATATATATATATTAATAAATAATATGTAAAATATATATATATACAGTCCCACTCGGCTTATACGTAAACAAAATTTGCTCCCAATCTATTTCTTATGAGAGTTAAATTTGGTTTTTCTTTTCTGAGTACGTTTGGATCTTCTATCAGACCGATTTTCATGATTGAGGTCTCAAATTGAAGGTATGCACGCAAAGATTTCACATCAAGTATTGGCATATATTTATCTACTGTATTACTCGACCAAAAACAGTAAATTTGATTTATTTTCGAATTCTTACTTCAATTTAAGATGTATTTCACCAGTTATAATTATTCAATCCTATATATTTTGGTCTTAGAACCTTCGGTGAAAGTTTAAACGCTTGAATCAATGCAAATCTGAATGTTAATATAACTTTTGTAATGATAATATATTTCGTGGTTTCACTTATATACTCACTGTCACATAAAGTCCTCTTATGCAGTTATTAGTAGCCAAAGTGATAGAATTCAAAACTGTAAAGGGTTGATTTCTAGGTTATAACTAGCTAGAACTGTACCGCCCTGTTTCAGAATAAGTTGATGACTAACCCTGAGGGTTTAAAATTAAAATGTAAATGCAGGTCTCTGAAAATGCCTAAAATTACACCTTTGTGTTTCTTACCCCCTTTATTACGAAACAACCTGAAGGTAATCTAATTACACCAATATTTATCTTTACACAAATGCTTTCTTCACATTGTAGGTAAAAATAATTATGAAGCTCGATGGTGAAGGTCAATAACAATATATATGGAACCCTGATGACTCCGCTCAATCTGGTGGATGCCTCTGTGAACGCCACCTAGTAATTGATCTAAATAGGCAACAATGTTATTTTTATAGTGAAAATTCCTTAAGGCTGGACTATCACACTTGTGCTATATCAACAGCTATCACACTGAATCAAGTTAATCTAAATGAAATCATAATGAAACGTAATTAGGTTACCTTTTTGTCCCATTGTTGATGCAGGTATCTCAGCAGAATATTTGTCTTTTCTGTTACAATAACTGAAACAAAAAATAACGTCATGACACCTAAACATTTTTAAACAAACACAAGGTTATTGACTTCTAACAAGATGTCCAAAACTGCAATGTCCCCGAAACATCAGCATTTGAACACGACTGCACGACACGACCTAACCCAATAAATGACAAGTACTGGTACAAACATCTTGTGAAACACAAAATCATACAACTACCAGGTTGAAAAATATTAATATATATATATTCTGACTATATAAACATAAGTGTTACTCTACCTATAATTTAAAAACCTATCAAAAAGAAAGTAGAACAAAACAGTTCATACATTACCCATATGGGTGAAAACATTAACAAAAATGTTTAACAGTAACAACTAACATTAAAGTTAACTCCAATAAGGTAGTCCTGGACAATAAGTTTGCAATTCTCTTTGTTTAATTTTATTAAAATTTGTATTTTCTTTCAGGTCTAAGATATGAAAAGTAGCCGGTACTGACTCGGTTAGCAAAGAAGCAAGTCATTCGTTGTTATGGAATTGTCGGATGAGGAATTAACGTGTAAAATTATAGCGTCTGAAAATGTTGTGAAGTTACAGCCACTGAAAAATGGTGTTCATGATATTATATAACTCTTTTCCTATAGCTAGAAATGATAAATATATTGCAATGTATGGAGTCCGAAACCACCTCAACTTATTATTAAAATTGGACATCAATGAAAAAATCCTGAAGAGAAAGCTTAGTGGTACGGTAACCCTAAAGGTAAGAATGAAAAAAAATTAAATATTTTACTATAAAAACACAGTTTATTTAACTAAATAGTATGCGTACAAGCAAAATCTGAATCAGAATCTGAAACCAGAGTGAAGAATTCATTCCGGTAAGCAGGTGCCTGCGCGCGGGCTCGGAAACCGGCAGCCACTACGGCCACTTCCATTTGAATGCAAGTGCCATTCCTGCCGCCAAAATCTGAATCTGAATTGGCGTGCACTCTGGACGTACCGTGAGACTTAACTAATGAACAGTGAAATTGTTAAACTTTTTAGTATCTAATAAATTTGGGTAATTTCTATATAAAACTTGTATTTTTTTGTTCCTGTATGCTAAACTCCATTTACTCCCTATAGTTTAACGTTTCAATAGTTTGACACCCCTTAAGTCCAAAAATGTCAAACTATCAAGATTCTACTGTATTACATGTTTATAGACACAAGACCAGAGTGAAATAGTAGGCCCTATTACATAGTATTGGGATAGTATTTTGTGTAGGCCTACCATCCCAAAAATCAAGAAACAAAATAATTTTCTGTAAACTATAGTAAACATGGTGTCCCACATGTCTCTTATGAAAACATGAGCAAAATTAGACGTCACAACCTATAACATTTTTAAAAGATTTGAACGAAGAAGTTAATGTAGGCCCACCTTAACCATATCTCACTGCTGAACTGTTTAGACGTATAGTTTAGAATTACCATGTTCTATTTGGAGGCAAATAACTACTTGCTCAGTATACAGTAGTCTATATGATGTCAATTATACCTTAGATTATCAAGTAGCCTATCAATGGACATCCCTAGTTCAGTAAATTTTTAAGGATTACTCACTCTGTTCAGAAGGGTAGTCTTTTGTTGGAAGGTAAACTGAAGGTCTTTTGGCACATGATCGGCTGCCACTGTCAGTGTGGAACCGAGAGAAATTTTTTTCATTGTAGGAAGGGAGACCTTTCAAAAACTCTGCCACAGACTGAAAAATGTGATAAAAATCAAATACAACACAACACTGAACACAGTCTACCTTGTTTCTACCATAATGAGAGACCGTCTAAAAATGTAATTTATAATTTTAAGACAGGAATAACTATTTAATACTCGGGGATTTATGTTTAATTTTGTCCTAGTTGAATAGTATGTCTTCCACAACTAACACCGACACAAAAAGGTCTTCTCGGGTACTACTAACTTATGTTACAGACAGGAAAGTAATATTAACTTAGATAGTGATGTTTTGTCCTCGTAGCAGACAGCTCTCGGTTATGCCACCAGTATTGGCGCCTGACTGGAAATCTGTTCCTAGACATAGTTCAAACCCTAGATTTAAATCAATATTAGCATAGCCCAGTTAAGAAATTGTACCCAAACGATTTAATTATAAACAATTACTCATCCTCTAAGTTATTTATATAACCAAACACTAAGTAAAGCACCAATCATGAAATTAACTTAAGTCTGAAACATAGAATCAAAATTCCGTCGACACTAGCAATCAGTCACCGGAAGTGAACTAGACACGAAAATTAAGCTTCAAAATTTACATTCGGATGGGAAGTCTATTGTAATGACTGTTAATACTGTAATAAAATGGCAACCATACGAAGTAGGCAACTCATTTTAAGCCAAGTATGAATGAGATGAGTGTAGGATGAGTGGCGCAATCTTGTAGTCTTGTTGGTGACTAAGGCCCACATTCCTTAGACACAGCTGTTAATTAATATGGGTTACTATGGTTATAGACTAGTCTATGGTTACACAATGACCTGTGCTAAGTTTAGGCCTTAGATGGGCTAGGCTAGAACCTTTTTCTGAACAATGTGCATTAGGTAGCCTATCACAAATTTAAACTAGAATGAACTGATCAGTGGTGTTGAAATTGTTTGTGAAAGAGGCTTTATGAACTAATAAGAAGTTAACATTGCTAATGATGTGGTGAGTGAGCTACTTAATGAAACCATAAAACTAAGGTTAACTTAGGTCCTAACACATTAAACCTAAAAACATTTCAAGCCAAAGTGGTATAAATAATATCGAAAATTACCATTTTGTAGACAAATTTTCGGACGATTACTAATCTTTAAGTTGGAAAAGACACACCAAATGTTGGGGTTGGGAAATTATTCCAATAAATTCATAGGAGTGGCTGGCATTTGGAATTGAATTGACAGACAATCTGAATCTGATCCTGATCTGACAATCTTCAATTCAATCTTCTTCTCTTCTTGTTCCTTGATCGACCTCGACTAGTTGAAGTCAAGTCAAGCATAAGCAACAAGCAAGCCTCGAACATAAATTGCTATCTCGCTCGCATTCAATTGAAATTGTACATCGTGGAATTGGAATAGCCCGAAGAACCAAAAAAAGTTTCGGATTTCGGGGTATTTACTCAGGGCTACGAACTGGGCTACTACATAATGTACTAGATAAATAATTATGTAGGGCTACTATTATTAATTATGTAGTACCCCTGGTATTTACTCATAGGAGGTATTAGAATTGGCGTTGGCAGTTGGCACACCTGCTCTAAAAAAAGCTGCGCTAATGCCAATTCGCTTCGCTTTCGCTTTCGCTTATTTTATTCGCTCCGGCTTCCGGCTCCGACCGAGCAGCCGACAACATCCGACTGGGAAAGAAAATGAAAATAGGTTAGGTTTGTCTTTTGTCTTGATAAAAGTTAATCACTATTAGGCATATTTTGATTTGCTACCGATCAATATGCGATTCACAAGATTTCTTTGTGTAAGATATTCTGAAATTGGGGAGCTGACAAAAAAGTTGGGCAATTTCCCCGAAACTTACTTCAAAAGGAGAATGGAAGTTGTAAGTACCTAGCATACCTAGGCTATGGCTAGTTAGCGATTCCTACCAAACAGAGATGAGCATTGATAGGCCTAGTCGATGTTTTTCTATCGATGTTCGATGTTTTTAACATCAATTGTAGAGTAGGGTACCGATGTTTTTGTTAACTTACCGTACATCGATGTTTTGGGTCAAGTAGGCTATTGAAATAGGCCTACTGATGTTTTCCAGTAAATTGGGTAATTAACTTAAGTAATTATTTGATATTTCTACAATGCGATATCGTGTAATTTTAGATGTCTACCTACAGTATTTTTCAAGCTGAATCCAAAAATGCAATCAGTTTTTGTCGGAGAGATTCCTAACAAGAGGAAGTTATTGGAATTTATTGGAAAAACCCAATCTAAAAACAGGGCTGCGAGACCTAGATCCGGGAATTATTTGGATAAAATTTGTCAATTAGGCTAAATTCAGCCTTTTGCCATGGTCAGCTCCCTAGCTCATTTCTTGAGAGTACCACACATGGGATCTACAATTTCAAGACCCATGACATGTTTTTAAGGGAAAACAGTTTTACTTTGCCATGTCTTTTGACAAACACTGCCAGTTCTTTCACATTCATCGCAGACTACTATTGTAGAAAACGTTGTAAAATAACTTAATTCACACAGTGGTCAAAATAAATTCAAATTAACAACAAACATGCTTTCTTCACAAGTTGAAGTAGACTTTGTAATTTCCTCCAAAAGCTTGGTAATTTGTCTTTACCTATTCACAATGATCTTGATCCACATATCTATTATTAAGTTGCCAGACCGAATAATTGAAAGTAGGTCAGTAATTCCGGAAACGAATGGTGACAATAAAATATTTGTTACCTTTCATTTCCGTTCTTTATTCTGTTATTACAAGTTGCAGTTTTGCTTAATTTTGAGCAACGGGTTATCTATTATCAATAAAATTGTAAACAAATCATAACTCAGTTTGATGTTTACATTTAATAAGAGTCTTTATTCCCCTTTAAACATTTTACAGTGCAATAGGGTTTTCATATGCTACATAATATCAAAATGTAATTAAATGCTTCACTTAAAATAATTAAAAAAAACACACAGTGGAAAAAACATAGGAACGGTACATGAACTATTTAATTATCAATATTTAATGTTATTTATCCGATATTATCGCAGGTTCTCTGCAGAACAGTACCCTTAAATATAATATAGTTAGGTTCCTTCCTATATTAGGTTCTTCCTGACCAGTCACACTTATACTAGAACCTAAGTTTATCACTGTACACACAGTTGTGTAGAGGTAAGCTTTGAAGCAAGGATGGGTAAGGTGTTTTGATTTATTTAATGTTATTTTAAAAAAGTAAGAGAAGGGATGTCTGAATGTATCCTATTATGCAATTCCCGTGAGTTAGGTAGTTAGAAAAAAACTTAAATGTAAATGATTTTAACTGAGCCTAAGCTTGTGCTACTATTGATTGAAACATAATTTAATTTTACACCAACTAATTGTGATGATGGTTAGTTGTTGACGTTTCTCTGTTTTAGATCGAATACAAGACACCCCGTGGATTTCCTCAGTATAGAAGAAGGACCTTGAAAAGAAATGATTATTATATTGCTGAACATCGACCATGGACAGAAGAATACAGACTTGACAATCAAATTGGTAGACCGCAAAAAAAACTTTGGGTGGAACCAATAAAAGATTGGAAAATATTTAAAGGAGATCTGGTAAGTTAAGGAAAACAAATATTTAGTATGCCTACTGTATATAAACTTTAACCTACAGTAAGTTAATAATTTCTTGTTGACTAGACCTTGGGACCAAGATCAGTCCCAAACTCTAGCTTGTAACCTGGGACATACGTCCAGTTACTAGACAGTAACTTAAGCCTGTCTCAAAGATAAAAAATAAGATGGATTTTCAAAGTCTTATGAATGTTAGTCATAATTAAAAACATAGTTTGTGAATATGGTAAGAACTAAACTATTTAGTCGTTCTTAATACCAGTATAAGACAAGACACTGCAAAATGAATATATATTCTAGTAAACAAACAGTTTTCAATATCGTAGCCTAGCTTCTTGTGAAGAGGTGTGTTATACTTGTAATTATGTTTTTCAGCATGGTTTGTGGCATTTGTCCCCCCTTTAAGCATCAGTGTTAAGAAGTAGTAAATTACTGGGGTAATTATTTTGTTTTTCATGTAGTTTATTTGAAATTGTAGGGCTTTACCGAATGGAACATTTAAGTGTAGCTATAGCAAAAGAATTTTTTTTAACAACTTCTTGATTGACATTTACGTGGTAGGGCTGTTAAGGGGGCATGTTGACTAAAGTACGTCTTCAACACTATTTTATATATTTACACTAAAACTGTACATATTTACAGTAGTATAACTGTAAATATATCAAACAGTGTTGGATGACGTATTTTATTTTACATTATCGTATTCCTATCTAGCTTCCCTATCACTGCATTAGACAAATATGCAATTCAGAAAAATAACATTGGTCTTCAACTTTGAATATTTATCTCTCTGCAAGTTCAATGCCGATCCATTGGATAAAGAACTAGACATAGCCTATTGGTGTTGAAATCATGTATATACTTTATTGACAATGGACAACGTAATTTTTAGGTAGAGATTCTTGTTGGCAAAGACAAGGGCAAGCAGGGAAATGTGATACAAGTGATCCAAGAACGTAATTGGGTCTTTGTGGAGGGGCTCAACTGTGAGTTGGAGCTAGTGGGAGAGTCCAAAACAGTGCCTGGTGTCTACGTGCAGCGGGAGAAACCACTTTTGGTCACCAATGAAGTTGCACTTGTAGATCCTAATGATATGTGAGTAGAACTGTTCAATACTACCATCAATACGAGTTGGGAAAACAGAAGGGTATTTTGTCTGGGGTCTGCCTGCGAACCAGACTTGATTACTTCATAATAGTGGTCAGTGACTTGGGTGGGGTCAAAAATAGTGATCTTCAAGACTCAAGCTGAAATTGGGTTCCTTTGGTAAAATATTTGACTATGACATCTGAGAGTTGTGTAAGTAAGAGCAACTCACTTATTTAAAGCCCACTAATCGAGCACAGTTCAATCCAGTTTTGAGCCACAAAAAGTTTGTGACTTTCAGGGGGGGATTGGTGACTTTCACATTGTCGCCAACACTGTTCTCAAGTGAATTTTTACCATGTGTCCTCAAGTGACATTGTCCTAAAGTTACTTGTCATACTGTTCTCAAGTGACATGTCACGATTTCCTCTTCAAGTGACGTCACAATTTCTTCTTCGAGTGACTTGTCACAATTCCCTCTTCAAGTGACTTGTCACAATTTTCTCGTCGAGTGACTTGTCACAATTTCCTCTTTGAGTGAATTGTCACGATTTCCTCTTCAAGTGACGTCACAATTCCCTCTTCAAGTGACTTGTCACAACTTCCTCTTCAAGTGACATGTCACGATTTCCTTTTCAAGTGACTTGTCACAATTTCCTCTTCGAGTGACTTGTCACAATGTCCTCTTCGAGTGACTTGTCACAATGTCCTCTTCAATTGACTTGTTACAGTGCCTGAGCCTGCCTAAGTTACTTGTGAAAGTCAACTAAGCCTTATATTTTCTTATTTACCTTTTATTAGCGTACATTTTGTACCATTGCGTCTTTGACCTATCTCCACTCCCACCCATTTGAAAATCCCCAAAACCTATACAGTATGGTGTTAGTGAACTTAGCACAGTGATGGCTTGATGTGTTTGTAGGAAGCCTGCGGACATAGAATGGAGGTACACGGAGGAAGGACAGAGAGTCAGAGTGTCTTTACGATCTGAGAGAATCATCCCGGTGCCTGTGGAAGCTCGGGAAACACTGGACTACAAAGAGAAACACCTCTACCTCGGTATGTCATTATTATAAGAAAAATTATAAAATGTGTTTTATCCTTTTATTTTAATGATCAATGATATTTTTTCAATTTATCCGTTAAAGTCAATCTGTTTTTTATTCTGATATTTTTGGATTCAGCTTTACTGCTTGTAATAGTTCCTTTTAAATATTTCAACTAAAATATTAGTAAGCCTAGTCTATGACAAGGTGTCAAATAGTTAGTTGTTCAAGTTTAAAGTTAGTTAGTTTTATAAGATTAAAAGTTAGATAAAACTGAAATAAGTTGAGAGTTTGGTTCACAGTTTTTGTATTTTTATAGTAACAATTATAAGTTCAAAACAATAACAAAAGAATTATAACCAGCTGGCATTTAATATATTAATTCAATCCATGCCTTTGGCACACTCCGGGCGAAGGACAAACACTAATAATTCTTCACTTCTATTGGATATAAAAGATTTAAGGGACGTACAACTTTCTTCTTCGAGCTGAGAATTACTGTAGCACTTCTTATTTTTCCGTCTCGACTTGAGTGAAGTTCTACTATTCTGCCCATTTTCCAACTTCCTCGTGGTAGTGCTTCATGGATCAGAACAATTTCTCCAACATTTGGTTTGTTTGTTGTAGTTCCTTTTTTCTGCTTCATTTCAGTTGTTTTTCTTTCAAGTAGGCTCATTAAGTAATCTTGAAGCCAGATCTTCCAAAATAAACTTAACACATTTTCTCCTTTTTTCCAAATTTCAAGAATGTTTTTTCTTGATGTTCTTTCGAAGTCCTTGTTAGTTTGGATGTTATGTGACTTTAAATTTCCAATCAAACCATTTTTACCATGGAAATTCAAAAAATGTCCAGGTGTTATGATTTCATCACTGAGACATATGTCTTCGGAAGAAACGTACACAAGAGGTCTTGAATTCAAAATGGCCTCAGTTTCGTATAATACAGTTTCTAGCTGTGTGTATGTCAACTTAAATTGTCCAATAGTTTTCTTCAAACATTTTTTTACACTAGAAATGAGCCGTTCGTAGAATCCTCCCATCCAAGGAGCGAATTCGGGGATGAAGTTGAATTTACACCCATTGCTATGTACAAAAGATAAGACGTCATCATCTACGAAGTTGTTTTCCCAGATATTCTCTAAGAATGAAGAAGCTAGTTTGAACTGTGGAGCGTTGTCCAAATATATCTCCAAAGGTTTTCCTCTTCTACTTACAAATCGCTTCAAAGCCAACAAGAATTCACTTGACGTCATATCACTGACCAGTTCTAGGTGAATAGCTCTAACAGTTAAGCATGTAAAAATACAACCATATACCTTTCTTGAGTCATTAGTGAGTTCATTGCTCTTCACGTACAACGGACCAAAGTAATCTAGACCAGTGTATGAAAAAGGAATATTTTGGGTAACTCGTTCCAGAGGTAGGGCAGGGAAAGACGGCATTTTGAATGGACCTCCATCCCATCTCCTGCATTCAGTGCATTGTCTGATAATCTTAGACACTTGAGATCTTCCTTGAATAATCCAATAGTGTTTTCGGACTTCCGATAAAGTATGTTGAACACCAACATGTTGTAGTTTTACATGATAGTCATTTATTACCAAATTGGTAAAGTGGTCATTTTTAGGTAAAAGCACAGGAAATTTCATTTCCGATGACAAATAAGCATTTTGAAGTCTTCCTCTGCATCTCAATATTCCATATTCATCCAAAAACAACCCTAACTGTTTTTGGAGATGATCAGTCCTGCCAAGTTTTAAGCTTTTAATACTAGTGCCGAAATGTAAGTTTTGTATGTATCTCAACCAACATAAAGTAGACTCATGAAGCTCTTCGAAGCTCAATTTGTTGGATGTAAATGGAGTTGAAAGTTTCTTGAATGCTTTAATAGCTCGTTTGCAATATGCTGTCGTTCGAATTAGTTTATCTAGAGACGAGAAATTTGTACAATCAATATCAAAAGGACTTCCATTACTTGTGGTTTCTTGAATTGCAGCCATAACTTCTTGGTTAGATATGGGAAGTTCACAAGTGATCAATGTGTCTTGGTAAGTTTGTTCTGACATTGAAGTGATTTGATTAAAGTCATTTCGTGGCCATTCATGTTCCGATGAACCTAGAAATTCAGGGCCTGACCACCATAACTGGCTCTCCTGCAACTCATTAATAGTCAATCCGCGAGTCGCCAAATCTGTAGGATTGTTACTAGAAGGTACGTAACGAAACTCTACATCGGTATGTGATTTAATTTCTGAGAGTCTTCGCTCAACGAACTTTGGTAGTATCCTATTTGTATTCAACCAATGGAGAACACATTGTGAGTCTGTCCAAAGTATTTTTCGTGTCACAGAAGTCTTCAGCGCAGTTTCAGTAAACTTCAATGATCTCACCCCAATTAAAACACCAAGTAATTCCAATCGTGGTATAGTGATGTTTGGCTTAGACTTAGGGGTTACATGACATTTAGAGAAAATAAGTATTGATTTTGTCGTGGATGTATTATTACTCTTTAATCGCAAATAAACAGCTGTAGCGTAACAATCTTTAGATGCATCAGTGAAACAATGTAACTCTAAAGTATCACCAATGATTCCAACATATCTTGGAATACATACCTCAGGAATTTTAAGTAGGTTTGATTGAATCTGCATCCATACCTTTGTAAGTTCTGAGTTCAGCTCTTCATCCCAATCAACGCCTTCAAGCCACAAGTTTTGAATGAATAACTTAGCTTTCAAAACTACAGGAGTAAATAAACCCAAAGGATCAAAAATGGAAGCTACTAGTTTCAGTGCAGTCCTCTTCGTTACAACACAAGGTTCAACTTTAACTGGTTTTACAGAGAGCGTGTCCTTGATTGTATCCCATTTTATTCCCAATACACAAACACTGTCTTCATTTTCAGTAGTAACTTTATCATCAGGAATACTTGCCATAAATAGCTTAGAATTAGAGCACCAACCCCTTAGATTCATACTAGCTTGTGAAAAAATAGTTTCACTCGTTTGGAAAAGAATAACCGCATCCTGACTGGTTTGAGTTCCAGTAATCATGTTGTCGACATAAAATGAATGTTTCAAACGTTCAGAAACCCCAGAAAGTTGAGAGTGGAGTAAGTGATGTTGTATAGTTGCATTCAATAGAAAAGGACTAGAAATTACTCCAAATGGTACTCTGCAAAATCTATACTCTTCAACATTGTTGTCTAGTGAAAGAGAGGATGTATCCTTAAGCCACAAAAAACGAGTGACATCCCTGTCAGATTCCTGTAAATTTAGTTGAAGAAATGCTTTTTCGATGTCCGCAACAATACCAACAGGATTCATACGAAATCTGAGAAGTAGACTACACAAATCTTCTAAAATTACCGGTCCACGGTACAAGCAATCGTTTAAACTGTTATTTGTCTTTTTACTCTTTGATGATGCATCATACACAATTCTTAGTTTCGTTGTGATTTTACACTCATTGATAACTGGGTGGTGTGGGATATAGTGACAAACTGTTAAGTTCTCGTTAGGAGGGGCCTTTTCAATAACTCCGTTACAGAGTTGATCCTTGATTGTTTTATCGTACTCTTCAAGCACACTAGATTTGTTTTTAAAACGGTGCAAAAGTGAGTTAAGTCTTGAAAGAGACAAATTGTAGTTTTTTGGTAAGTCAGGGGGATACTCCTTCCAAGGCCAACCAACCGAATACCTCCTATTTTCAAGCTTAATAGTTTCATTGAACTGACCCAAAGCTATATCATCATCATTTTGATGAGGGCAATCACGAATCCCTATACTATCCAAACTCCATAGGTCTTTAATATGCAAATCTTGTACAAACTGTGAGTCTGGTTCCACAAAATGATTCCTTAAATTAAAAACATTTGTAGGTTGTGACATAGTTAGAAAGGACGTAGAGTAATTATTTGATTTTGCATCATTTGGTGATTTTTCCCTCCCACTTAAAATCCAGCCAACCTTAGATCTTATTAGATACAAACCAGAGTGTACTTCGATCTTTTCATTAGTTATAAGGTCAAAGTAGAAATCATTTCCTATTAACAAGTCAATGACTGAATCCTCATTTTGACCCTCGGCAAAAGTAAGGGATGGAAACCGAGATTGTATCTGGGAAACATCAATACTAGAGGTACTGCTTAACTTTCCCGTGATTTGGGGCACTACATTACAACTGAGATTGAAAACCTTACCATCACTTAGTATGAGTCCGGTAGTTACATTTTGTGTTTCAAAGGTTTTTGCATCTTTATTACCAAAGGTAAATACAGATAAAACTTGAGTGTGATCGCTCTTTAGTTTAAGTTTTGATGCAAGATTAGTACAGATATAAGATCTTTGACTCCCGGTATCAAACAAAACTTTAGCAGGCTCTGACAAGCCATTACTCGTCAAATAAACCTTAGCCGTTTGCAAAATCACATTTTCATGAACCGTAACAAGAGAAGGTTCGCTACAGACTTCGGGATTGACAGCACAATTTTCGGGAGGCTTAAGGGACTGTGAAAATCTTTTGGGACAAAGACTTCTATGATGGTTCTTCCTTTGTTTGCAATATACACAAGGTTTGCTTACCTTACAATCCTTTAAGTTGTGTCCACTCTTCAGGCAAATAAAACAGAGACCTTTGACCTTACCTTTTCTTTCTTCAACAGTTTTATACTTCTGGCATTGGTCGTTCCAGTGGGCGTCTTTGCAGAAAATACAGGTTGCAGTTCTGTTTTCGGTCGAAGGAAGGGCCTGTGTAGTTGAAAAACTACCTTTTTCTGAGCTACGAAAGTAGTTTCCGTTTTCTGGTGGTGGGATAGAAGTTTTTGTTGATCCAAAACCTAATAAAAGTTGTGACTTTTCTCTAGCTACGATTATATTTCTTACTATAGTACATAATTTAGTGGCATCAAGAGTATTATCTACGTTGTTTTCCTCAACTTTTATGACTATATCCAGAGGAAGTTTCCTCATAATCAGAGAAAAAAAGAAATTCGAGTTGGTATCTTCGCCTAAGTTTTGTAGACACCTGATGTGTTTGTCAATAACATCGAATAAGTTCCTAAGTTTTCCAGTGTCGTTCGATTTTAAGGGACTTAAGTCCATCAAGGCTTTGTAATGCGAATTGATTATGAGTTGTTTGTTAGCAAATCTTTCTTGGAGTAAAGAAATGGCAACGTCATAATTGTCAGCAGTTAATTGTAGACCAGCAATGCATAGTTTGGCCTCTCCATTCAAAAGGGAGTTAAGATAATTGAATTTATCTACTTTAGTTAAATATTGCTGACTGTGAATGGCAGAGTTGTACGAGTCCCAGAACTCTTGCCATTTAAGAATGTTACCTTCAAACATGGGAAGGATTAGTTTGGGCAGTTGTACTAAACTGTGTGGATTTTCCAACACTCGCTCGGACGAAAGACCATTTGAATTATTGGCATGATCATTGATAGCTTTCGTGTTGAAGGCTTCTAGTCTTACCTTCAAGGTTGATATTACTTGCTCACTGTCAAGTACGATACCAAAAAGGTCCTCGGCGTCGTCGGTACCCTCCACAGTTGCCGACCCGTTGGCTGTGTCTAGGTCAATCTGTTCCATCAAGGCTTCTAGGCGAGCTGAATAGCCTTGCAGAGTTGCCAGCGTCGCTAGTAGCGCGTTCCTCGAAGGGTCCTCGGCGTTAAGCAGTGTAGTCGCCTCTGCAAGGGTAGACTTCACACGTGCCGTGAGAGTGGCAGCCTTCTTCCTTAGTCGAGTCGTCATGTTCAAAGTTCAGTTGAAGTTGGACAGTACAAATAAGTGAAATAAAGATCAGTTACAGGTGGATCGTTGCAGCTCTGCTACCATGTCAAATAGTTAGTTGTTCAAGTTTAAAGTTAGTTAGTTTTATAAGATTAAAAGTTAGATAAAACTGAAATAAGTTGAGAGTTTGGTTCACAGTTTTTGTATTTTTATAGTAACAATTATAAGTTCAAAACAATAACAAAAGAATTATAACCAGCTGGCATTTAATATATTAATTCAATCCATGCCTTTGGCACACAAGGAGTTGGGGAATGTGAATGAGAAAATAAATTTGAAAGAAACAGATTCTGCTGTCCAATATATAAACAGTAGTTAAAAATAAATGAAAACATCTCAAAAGAAAAATTGCTCATGGCATATCATATAGGTTTCATCATATATTTAGTTTATTATAGTTGTATTTGTAGTAATAGTTGCACTGGAATCAAATAATGACATTGAAAAGTGGAAGCCTATTTTACAACAGTTAACTGTGTAACTAGTGTGCAAAGTGGTTCTTTGCTGCACATGAAAGAAATGTTTACGCACGAGCCGTAGGCGAGTGTGGAAAGTTTCTCGAGTACAGAAAAGGCACTTTTCACTCGCGTTACACATTATATTTTCCTACAGTTACTATTAAGCATATAAATAATAAGTCTTTTAAATATTATACAACACGTTTTTAAGTTAGGTTAAATCCAAGCGTTGAACAAAATGGGAGTAGGCCTACTGCACCAGCCTGCAGCTGTAGGCCTGCTGATCGTAGTCGTAGTGCCTTTAAGTGTAGCCAACTTATTTTCAAGCGTACAAATATTACGTGCATAATAAAAGCACACTGTTTTGTGTTGTTTGGTTGGAATACTGGAGTGCGGGGGGAAAAAATTGGTGTGGCAAAAAAGTAAATGAAGCAATTAGCTACATTGCGTTCTATAATCAGTGCAAGTAAGTTCTTTGTCAGGTTACTGGAGGAAATAGTTATTTGTGCAACTAGTGAGCAAAGGGAGCAATTGACTCACTCGAGAGAAATACTTTCTCATGAGCCTTAGGCAAGTGAGGAATGGTTTCTCAAGTGAGGCAATTGCACTTTGCTCTCGAGTTGCACATTATATTTTTCCTACAGTTAACCACAAAACAAATAAATTGCTTAAGAAAAGTGACATATTTTTACACAGAAGTGAACTTTTAATATTACATTTAATGATACAACAGTACAACAGCTAACCAGCTGATTTACAGCCAGTGCTGCCAACGTATTTCCCGCACATACGACCTTGTCTGCATGTTACGCGCTCACTATTTCGTGCCTTCACATTGCAAATCTGGAGTGAGTGAGACAATGTTAACATTGTCTCACTGATGAGCGAATTGGCCACTTTGCTTTCTCAAATCAGTGAGAGAACATGTACATTGTTAGGTAACTGTAGGAAAAATAAACTACATACTAATCCAGCTGTCAGATCATTGGGCCCCAATAAATTATCCTGGCTGAAAATCAGCTGATCCAGTAATAAAGCTTCACAGACCATCTAACTCCATTCTACCCATTGACTCTTGGTTACTGAAGTAAGACATTCCCATTCCATCTATATGAACCAGCTGTTGTACATTTTTATCCGAAAATAACTAAGTAAAACGAGCCACTCATAGAGAGTGCTACTGTCAAAAATTCCATTTGCTCCATTGGTTTATGTTTATGAGTTAGTTGATATAACTTAAAAAATTGAGAGCTTATAATAAGTTGTCCTATCTCTCCCTATCAGTTTGACGTGCTTAGAAAGTTGGTGTATTTGACAGAATTCAGTAATTTACATTTTAACACTCTCTCGGTGACTCAAACCAGCCATGTCCGTTGATTAACTGGCGACATCTTTAACATGAGGATGAAATGTCTAGTTCCATCAGTAGTCAAAGGTTCTACACCCACCCTTCACTCATATCTACCTTAAAATACGCTACAAAGTGTATGTCACTGTCTCAAAGAATTGAGTTGAATTTTTAGATTGAGATATTTTGTTTTCAGAATCCCCTAAAGACACTAGGGATGATGAGATACAAAAGGTGACATTCATACCTGATCTGGAGACATTTGAAATGGCCATTGCAAGAGAACACAACATCCAAGATGATAGAGTACCGGCAAAAGTGTATTGGTACTAGATAAGTTTATGTTAATATCTATTTGTAGATTAAAGTTGTAATTGTTATGTGTGGTTTTGTGATCCCTAAATGCCCTAAAAATGCTTAAGTTTGATAAGGAAAAAAATTAAGTATCTTAATACACAATAGAAGTATTGTACATAACACCTGACATAGTAATTACTTTTAAAAGTTCTGTATTAGAAAGAAAACTGTCTTGTAAAGGAGTTGCATTTTTTAATTTCCTTCCAGAACTCATTAAGCGAGGAACAATCCACTTCCTATATATATGTGGAGTTACTAAAAGAGGACTCCATACAGTTAAACATACATTGTGATTGCAAACAAACGGCATCTGCAATCTGACACATACTGTACTTTCTCCCAGTAGCTTGCCAACAACCCTTATCATGGGCAAGCGGTGGGAGAAAGTGATGTTTTACGAGTAAAATCACAAAAGTTGCAAACTCTTGAACCATAATTTTTAAAGCAATGGGGGTTGTACCAATCTGTTAAGAGTTATATTGTTATAATAAATCTCTTTATTATTATTTTATTTTCTTCAAGAAATACAATAGCGTCATGTTTGTTTGGATCTCTTGCTTTACAGGTATTTTCTGGTCTTCCATCTTCATAAGAGATTAACAAATTCTTAGGTGGAGTAACAGGTTGTTTCACCAGCCAGCCTTGCAGTCCCTGTTTTCTCTCATAGTCTTGAGGCAGTGCTTGGCAATTGGCAATTGTATGGGAAAGGGCATTTATTTTCTGGTGAACATGTTGTATAATTTATTACTAAAAAACAAAAGAATAAAGTCAGAGTGATATAACAAGAGTTAATACCCCCGCCGCAGCAAACCTGCAGACTAAGTGAATTTTCATTTGCCTGATTGGGTTTACACTAAAATGTCTCCTTAAAAATATCACATTTATTCCCTATTTAAATAGAATCAGTTTAACACATACTTAGGTTTGCTACAACAGGGGGAGTAAATGTTTTTTTTATGTAAAATGTTAATAGTTAGTAAGAAATAAAAACATTTTCCAAATTTGGGCAAAATATGTTAATAAACAAGCAAACTACAACAGTTGACTTATTCTCCATAAGAATAATATGGGAATTTTAAATTAAAATTTTTTTGGAATTTTCTCTGTAACCATTAGGCGCATTATAACGCTTCAATATACTAAAATTATTTGTTTTTTAAGCTCTACAAAATAGTTTGGAAAGAAATTGTAAAATTTTATGTTTTTTGGGTAAAAAATGGGAAAACCCCATTTATACCCCATAAAAGCCCCCATAAATCCCCGTTCCCATGGTGCGATCATGCTGGTTCGCGAACTCGTTTGAATAAACGTAGGTTTACATGTTTGTACCAAATTTAATCGAAATCGGATAATTTTTGCTCGAGTTATCGCGCTAACGGACACATATATATATATATATAAATGTATATATATATATACATATATATATATGAATTTGAACGGGTTGTATTTTTGGCCTCTAGGGACCTCAAAACGAAAAAACAAATCGGTCCCGGGTCCAGGTCTTACCATGCGTACTACGGTAATAGCTTATTCCCTATATGGGAAATTCGCTAACAAAGTATTGATATTCTAATTATTTAAACAAATTTTATTACAACAAAATAAAGGCAACCTAATTTGTACAAGGATGGTAAGAATGTTTACCCAAGAGGCTCAAAATAAAAATATTCGCTGATATGAAGAATATACTGGACCAACATTCCAATGTAATAAGAAAATCTTGAAATAAATTGTACCTACTTTATAAATAGACCACAGACAGTTTTTAAAATACAGTAAATAGATTTAAAAAAACAAGCAGAATAAACGGAAAACTCAAAGAAATGAAATTCAACAAAAACATATTGCTACCTATATGAACAAATTTATTATTTTAAAATTAGTTAAACTCAGTGTATTACCATATTACCAAAGTATTTCAAAGTGTTGCAACACAGCAATTTTACATTGTTAATATTTTTTACAAGATTATTTTTTAGAATTGCCTGGCACACTAATATAATATTATTCCTTGTCCTTGATGAATCAAAGAAATAGATTCACTCCTCTTCTCTCATTCATTCATCAATGACTTGGTTGTGGAGTGGGTGCCACTGCTATGGAAGGGGAATGACGTCAGAATGATCGATTATTGCGTGGAAGGATGGGGAGTTGAAGGTCGCTGACTGGATACAGGGATTCACATGATTCTGATTAGAAACCATTGAACAAGTTTTGTAAAAGATTAGTTCTTTCCAAATACCAAAAGTCATCTGTTCTAAATCCTTGTTCCTTTCTATGTTGATCGTGGGGAATTGAAATTTGTTGTTGTTTTCCCTGTTACTGTTACAACTTTTGTGACTTAGATATTAATGTGGATACATCAATATATATACAGGGTTAGTAAAAAGGCTGGAGACCCCTGTTAATTTTTTAACTCAACTTTCATGGCTTCGTGATTGAGCCTTGCGAACAAGCTCATCTTGAAAATGAACGAGCATTTGACATAAAACAGTGACGTAGCCAGGGGGGGGGTCCTGGGGGTCCGAACCCCCCCCCTTCCGGTCTTTTATAATATTTTTTTGTTGAATTAAATGTAAAACTATATAATTATACTGTATTGAAGTTGGGGTTGATTATTTTCAATGCCAAGAGAGCTAAAAAAAAGACTGTTTTAGGGCCTATATTTTTAAAAATTTTCCCGGACCCCCCTTTAACCCGGACCCCCGGTCGGTTGACCCCCCCTATTTTGAAATCCTGGCTACGTTACTGCATAAAACCACATTAGGACAGGACGACGTCCGTCGGGCCAGCTAGTTGAATATAAAATTGCAAGTTAATTCTGATTTCTAAAGATTTCAATCAGCTGCCATTTTATACTGGATTAAGATAGAGCCGTCTAGTTTGCGTTGTTAGTTTTCTTTTATCACGACCTTCAAAATGGAGGGGTCACTCGATGGGGCTTAACGTTTAAAGTTTTTGAGTTTCCCCCAAAATCCCCCATTTTGGGTTTGGGAGCCAAGTAGCAATTAGGCTCAAAAAGTACTTCATAACATGCCATAAAGGTGTGTAGAGTTTAGTTTTCCTAGTGTGAGCCGTTACAAAATTTACAGGGGGTCTCCAGACTTGGAAAGCTGTAAGTTAAATTTAACTTCTGAGAATTTCAATTGGCTGCCATATTTTACTGAATTGAGATAGAGACCTCTAGTTTGCGTAGTTGGTTTTCTTTTACCAGGACCTTTAAAATGAGGGGTCACTAGATGGGTCTTACCATTTGAAATTTTTGAGTTTTCAAGAGGCAGTTATTCCCAAAAAGTACCTCATAACATGCCATAAAAGTGTGCCGAGTTTATTTTTTCTGGTATGGGTCGTTAAAAAAATAACGGAGGGTCTCCAGACTTTTTACTAATCCTGTATATACATAGAAGTAGAAGTCCAGACAGTCATTGTAGTGATTGTATTGTCCACAGCAAATTGTATAGAAGTAGATCAATTTAATGAGTCGTTCTTTTTCAACGAGTCTGGAGTAGTATGTAAGTTCACCTGTAGGAGCGCTGGTGTACCCGATACCGTTGTCGTCTGTCAGTCAACAAACAAAGCTTGATCGGGGAGCTTGTCGTCTGCTACGCTATGGCTCCCAATGTAAACCATATGTTTTCACTGTTAATATTCACTTTAGTGTCTGTCGCTTCTTTATATGGTTACAAAGTTGAGAAGTATGGATTACTGATGCCTGATGTGCATCCCAACATGGTAAGTAGTGCAAATTATTACTGACCTACTACATAATGTTGGTGTGCCCATTCATATGTGTTTTTAGATATAAGTTAAAATTTACCTAATTGTTGTCAAGAGAGTTTAGTTTTATTCACTGTAGCCCGTTATTGTTCTCATTTAGTAATACTTTGATTTGAAATTGGCAAATTAACTAGGATTTCGACATTTCAAGGTTTTTTGATTAATTTACAGTTAGCCTCTCAGACCAATTTGTATTCTGTAAGTTAGGCCTACTGCCTGTTAGTTATCTGATATTAAAACTTAGTGATTCAATAGTGGGTATTGGGTAAGTTATGAAATGAAATGTCTTTATTGCTTTTAAAATGGAAATAAAAATGCATTTCAATCCTCAAAGCAACTTAAAATATAAAATAAGTTATGGTAACCATTATAAAATGTATAATCTTTTACCTGGGCCTAACTTAATTGCTGTAGCAGGATAGTCATTGACTATAGCCTAGTCTAATCTAGACTTTAAATTTCATATCATTAAAAGTGTTTGGTGGGTCAGTTAGTATTGTTACGGACTTCGGGTCCAAGACTCAAGTGAAGACAATGTATGAACCGTGGTTATATTAACCACTGGGTAAGCAAAGGATCCTGGTACCTGCCATTACTTCTATCAGTAGGCCTTCAGTCCACCATAGTACTGTATCCTCTGACTCAAAGCATCAAAACATGTGGTCATGGGCATATTTCTTGTAGGGTACTTTGGCTGTAAATACTATCTTGGCCTCAAATTAGGCCTCAATATTGAATAAATGTCAAATTTGAAATTTAATAGTTTTTATATACCGAGGTTTACCACTGAGGTCTGTTATTTAGTAGGCCTATGTGTGTAGTTTAGTGTCGTGATGAAAAGTATCGTTCATAACTTTTTACAGAAAGTGATTTTCCTGCACTTGCTCAATTATTCCCGTCCTAGGCTTTGCCTCGTAACCTACATGAAAATAACTTTAACATCATTGTCTTTGCTTCGCACGTGAAATTTGGTATTAAAAAAACTTGAGCATGCGCCGGAAATTTCCACTTTTGGTTCTAGTAATGAAATTTAGGTTCTATTATGTTTCTTTGATATTAAACATAAAGGCCGGACCATAAGTTAGTTCTAGGTATCTGGCTGACGCATGCGTAATAACGAATTTGCATTTAATCATATGTTAGCCCAAGTTTTGACAGATGGAGAATTAACACAGCAAATTAATGCGCTTGCGTCAGCCAGACGCCTAGAACTGTGGTCCAGCATTTAACAATTTAGAAGTTAGTTTAGTAAACATTGTATAGCTTAGGTGTACTAATGTTTTATTACCTAGCATAAAAAACAATCTCGTGAACAAAAAGTCAAGACTAGATTGTTTGGTGTCTGAATTTTCTATTTTCATCATTAGTTAGTGGACTGTAATGTAACTTATTACTGCCTTAGAAATAGGTGCTTAATCTCCAGTGGAAGCGGTAAAACATAGTGCCCAAGTAGCCAGAGAAAGTCATTTAAAATTGTAGTTAAAGATAGGCTATTACTGTTTTTAATTGAATATATATTTTACTAGCAGAGTACCCGTCCTTCATACGGGATTGGCATACAAGTAAAATGCTTATTGCAGTTATACTCGCGCTTTGCATTTGCAATGGGAGAGGACACAGTTTAAGAAAATTTGGTTCTTTTAATTTACGGTAGGCCTATACTATAGTATTGACTGGGACGGATGGCGTTGTCCTGTAATCCAGCTACTAGGAGGTCACGAATTGTGGATATTTATAGGCATGCACTGTGGATGCAATACTCTGATGTGGTTTAACGTCCGCACGGGTGAGTACTATGACTATCCGCAGTACTATCCTGATAATTAGACCAATTTGTATATACCAAAGGCAAAAATGTGGTTCGGATTCCACTATAAACTGTAGGTCCCTTAGTCGCCATTAGCTGTATGGGCTATTAATTAACAGCTGTGTCTAAGGAATATGTCGGCCTTAGTCCCTAACAAGACTACAAGATCACGCCACTCATCCTAAACTCATCTCCATTCATACTTGGCTTAAAATACCTACTTTCTATGGTCGCCATTTCAAAGAAAAGTACTAAAAAAAGTATTAAAGTATTACTTATAGCACATCTACCATAGTCGTAATGTTCTACCACTGCACCTAAACAATAGAAAAAGTAAAGATCTCACAGCTTTTTGTTGCTGCTTGGTTCAAATTAACTGTTAATAGAAATGCAAAAAAAAAAAAAAAAATAGGTCTGCAACCTTTTGGTAAACCTTATAACTTTTTAATGCTATTGAATATCATAGAACCAACTTGTGTACCGATAGTTGAAACAGCTGACAACATTCTTTAATATCTTTTAAATATGATTAACTTACTCATAATTTACTAAACATGGGAATCACTAGAGCAACTGGGTCAGAGCCCGAAAGTATTTTTGAGATAAGAATATCTCTATATGTTAATTGGGAATTTGGGCTATCATCATACCAAATTTCATCCCAATCTGACCAGTAGTTAATGCGTAATTGAACTTCAAACCAACGTTCACATTTATGACATGATTACCGTTAATTGAGGGTTAAAACTATAATTGTTGACAAGTAAGTTGAATAATAAATTTGTAACACCCTTCTACGACGGCCCTGAAGAGACATTCAGTTTCTTGCTAACGGTACCCCCTTTTTTAGAGGGCAGTTGTATTATTTAACACATTTAAAAAAACTAGAGGTCGTCAAGTGGCCAAAGACTCGACCAAAAATATGTAATGCAGACTTCTCTATTTTCACCCTGCACTGTAAATAATTAAAAAATAATAAAACATGTGATTGGAATTTCCTCCATTTGTTTTGATTTTCTGTTTATATCTTGTTGTTATTTCATCACCAGCATAGCAACAAATAAGGCCCATGTTAGTTTCTTAAAATTTTAAATTCATTTTTTGTGCTTATTTTTGAGCCTACTTTAATTTGTAAAGGGATTCTGCACATCTACAGGAATATATCTTTCTAACAGTATGCATAGATTTTCCCTGTGATGTACACGAGCTGAGAAAAAAGATTTTAAGAAACATGCTTGCCTATTAAAATATAGAAGAAAGATACTAAAGTGTAGCCTACGATAAAAACACTAAATTGTAAGTGGAACAGTTGTTTAGTAGATATTATATTAAGAAATTGTAACTAGTTTTTAGGAAATGTGTTCCGTGGAAATATTTATTACAAAAGTGTTATCTTGATTGATTTCCTGTAGCACAGTTTAAGTATAGTAGTTTAGTTAAGTAGCCTATAGATTTATAAATACCATGAACAAATATTTATTATTTTTTTATCTATTATTAATTTTATTTTTATTATTTATAATGGTACTTTATATTCTTAGCTGTGGTTAAAATTCACGTAGTTTGTATTTATTTGTTTATTTGAAATTTATTTTTGGTCTTGAATAAATAAAACAAAATAATAAATAATAGTTACGAACTGGTATAACAAAAAAATATACAATAGGATAATTTTGAGATTTTTTAAAGTTAAAGTTCTGGCGCGCCTTCAATTCTAAAAACAAAGTGTTGGTTTTTTGGTACAGATAGCCATGAGCCAGTTACTGTAACAAATAATTTAGTGTGAAATTGATAATAAGCTTCTGCACTTTACCAATAAAATACCTAATCATCTTCCTCGAACGTTCAGCTAGAATGTTGGGAAACATTCTTATAACATTGTTACTTGGTAGGCCTAATGATAACATAATTACATATAATCACTAAGTACTCTGCAATCACTTGGGTATAAATCAGAATCGTTGATGAATTTACTTTCTGAAAATAATTCTTGTTATTTTGATCTTGGAATGCTTTTTGCTGCTGTTATTTATTAAACGATCTTTTCCACTTTATGTTGTTTTAGATTAACTTTTTGGAAGAATAAAAGCCTTTGCTTAGGAATAAAGAAGGAATGTATACACAACTAAGGTCCAGGCAGTTGACATCATACAAAAGTTCACTAAACAACTGTTTTGATATTTCGGAAAGAATTATTTCTTCAGATAGAAGTAGTAATGGTACACGAATGTGTTTTTTCAACACAAAGTCATCGGCACATCCTACTTCTTTCTAAAGAAGTCTCCTTGTTTGGGACATTTGATATAAACTGTGTTGTCAACTTGTTGTGAGCTGTCACCTGTCTGGAATTCTAACCTTATTTAATCTAGAGTAGTACGAGGGTTGTCGTGCACAAATTGCAATGTTTAATCGGGCCCAAAACTTGTTACCGACAATGTAGACACACGACCGAAAAAATAATCACACTTACTAGGTCCAGAAATCTTGCTTTTAAATGATGAAAAATCCTGTTTTATCCTGCATTATTTTTTTGTTCAATTCAGTGCAATGCCCATTTTTCAAGATTGTGTTTGTTTAGAACAGTTACTATAAGCAAATATAAATACTAAATTTACAGTACTTCTTTTATATTTTGTATACCATAAAGAGTGATTTAACTAGCCTAGTTCAATCAAGTTGCAGTTGTAAAAAAGCAGCCTATTTAAAATACAATTCCATAAACTGTCTAGCCTCTTGTTTTTGTACAATCTGAGTGTGGTTTTAAACATTCAACTGCAGGAACAGCTGTTAAATTACAATTCACATTTCAATTGTTATAAAAAAGGTGTCACCATAACCTGGATCTTTGAAAATGGACTCTAGAAAAAAATTAAACATGGAGGGGGGGGGCGAAGCCCTAAAGGAAATTAACTTTTAATTACCATTTGCAAGTGCGCTATATAAATAAGCTTTAAATTTTCACCTCAATTGTAAAAAGTCGGTTTAGTAGGACGGCTGGAAAAGGGATGTAACAAAGAAACTCCTTAATGTATTTAGTATATAGATTTCAGTATTTTATCCATGATTTAAGTTAACTATTTTTAACAGTTTGGTAAATTTAAATTAATTAGGCCTATTAACAACTTGCAAAATTATTACTAACAGTCAG